CAAAGCTTAATGCAATCGCCGGTGTTGGCGATTGCGAATGAAGACAGACCATTTCATGTGGTCTGTAATCCAAGCGACTTTACAATCCGCTGTGCACTAATGCAGTACAACACGACGGCGCTGAGCGTATCGTCTGATATTAAGCGCGTTAGCTCCAAGAAGCTGAGCGAAACCAATCGGTACATGACAAGGAACTCCTTGCCATAAGTATGCCCTGGCTAAGTGTCGCGTCAATTGCCATGGTGATCGACCTTTATTTTGTATGCAGACCATGCGATTACGCGGCTGTAAACAGTCCACACCTCTCGAAACGCATGGCAAGATGTTGTCGTTTTTCACGGAGTATACCATCACCGCAAAATCAAAACCGGGACGACTTAACGTCGTCGCTCTCACGTCGACCCGAATTCGAGTCGACTGATACATGCCCCCTTTTCTCAAGTAGTCACTATATCAATTAGTTACTATTGTGACAAATGGTTGAGGGGGGGGGGGAGAATATAAGGGGGGGGAGCTCGTTACATAGCATTCGCACTAACACTTCGTGCCAATGTGAATATTATCGTAGCTAATAATATTCAACAACTTGTCTTAGCTTATAATAATTTTTGACAATATTTATTTAACTTCAAGATAACACTGTCGTCGCATTTCCTTAAAGTTAGAGATGTCCTTTTTACTGGCTGATATAGGCCTTAATGTCAGCCAACGCGCTGGCCTATGACGGATAGACGCGCGCAATGTGTGGAGGGCAAGTAGTCGATATACATATTTGTAGTTACACATATTTAAATTAAGGTTACAGAAAATTTAGTTGATTGATGTATTTATTCTATAATAAATACAGCTCTATTATCCCTACAATGATACGTGTCCGTTAACTCGTATAGAATTCTCTGCCTCTCAGGTACCTATTTACACATGTGTCAGTATAATCGGGAAGGGAGTTGCCCCGTTACAGTTGTTGAGATGATATGGGCTCTCAATAGTCTCAATACTATGGTAACTAGTTTGTGCTGGTTCTTCTGCTTTGCAGCATGTAACAAGAGGCACGAGTAAAACGACAATTGAGGCCAAGCTTATATATAACGGAGGAAATTAATGCCTGTGACGAGAAAATATAAATTTAGATATAAACCTTCCGGCTCAGTCCGAAAATATGATCGTAGCATTGAAAATTGGCGGAGAGTTTAATGCGAGAATGCCCGAAGTTATCGAGACAGTCAAGTACAGGCATTTCGCGTGTGCGAGACGACCGTCCTTCTGGAGTGAGTAAACTCTCTGGGACGATTGACTACCTAAAACACTGTATCAACCAAGCAAAAGCTTAAGCGAAGAAAAAGGTGCTCAGCATGCTAGCGGTCGCAAAGGACGACTCAGCTACAAGATATCATGTCGATAGTTTAGAAATGGCAAAAGTGGGACAAGAGTAAAACATACACTGTATCAACCAAGCTAGAGCTTATAACTAAGAACAGGAGCAAAAAAAGGTGTTCAGCATGCTAGTGGTCGCAAAGGACGACTCAGCTACAAGACATCATGCCGATATTTTAAAAAGGCAGAAGTGGGACTTTTGATGGACGGTTTTGTAATGTTAATAGCTGACATAGACGGCGTAATCATTTTTAGGCGAGTTCATTACCAAAGATTTCAATCAACCTCTATCCGCAAAGGAAGAATACGCTCCCAATTCCGCCGTTTTTAATGAGTCATTGGAGCAATCAGCGCTAGCACAACTTTTTGTGGCGAAAGACAAACATGCTGCGAGCGAAATGGCACAAAGAGGTGGCGGAGTAGCAGAAGACGCGCTGGTGTGATAGAAGACAACTTCTTTGAGCCCAAGAATCTCAAAGACGAAGGCATCATATGTTCGATAGCCCAGTGTGGAACACGTGAACCTTGTACATGTATATGGTGGTGCTGAACGGCAAAAAAACGAGCTGAAAAATAAAAAAAGGTAGCATTCCAGTGCTGATGAAGCACTGTAACGACGACGTTCTATACAAGACGTTCGCTGCTGTTACAAGTGCCGAAGGAAGGTAGCGTGCCATTTGTATAAGAGGTCGCTTAGCTGTATACTAAAGAAACCTGTTGAGAAGAAAGGCGACGCACTAATGAAGCGAGACGACGGCGATGCACCAGCGCCGACAAGGCGCCAACAAACGACGATGAGTAGTCAAGGGACTACAAACGAGTACATGGACGAAGCTTTACAACTAGCTAGTCAATACGATTGTGCGTCGTAATACGAACTGGGTGTATTTTGGCAGTCGAATTTTAGAGTGCTGGGGCTCTAAGACACGAGCTAAAAATTGAAGTTGGGGCCTGACACAAGCGTCGATGATGTTGTTGACAGAACAATGAGGTATATAAGGTATAGAGTCTCCGTTTTTTTCAAAGACTATTTCTCTGATTGTTTGAGTTATCATTAAAGTGTAATTTAACATAGACTTGTCGTTAATGAAGCTTTGTATGTAGCCTTGTTGAGCAATAGAAGGTAATTGTAAAGTAAACATATTTCGGTCCTTGAATTGCCACCCTGAGCTACGTCTAAGCCTGTCCTATTCAAAGCTTCATTAATGACGCCATCTAATATCGTCAGTCTTCAAACGTCACGGCCTTTCTGCTATCAGCCGTTTGTCATGTCCGTATCTTGTGACGTTAGAATACGGACATGATATCCTCTAACGCCATCTGCCCGTTCAACATGCATTCGACGGTGTAAAAAGCCTAAGCAATACTAAGACTAATATTAAAATTGTCATCACTCTGTCCTTCAAATAACCTTCATGTCACATTTTTGTGCTTCCTGCCGTTTGATGCCAAAATATGCCTATCAGATAGATCACCAGCCTTCAAGGCTTGATGAAACTCATCCACAGACATTTCTTCCTACTCTAAAGAGCATTTAACGATGGGAGGGCCCCGATTCCAACTGCGTAGCCGCGCACCGTATCCCATGCCTTAGCATTGGCATCCCGTAAGTACGCAGGTCATGGACAAATCTTAGAGCAGTAGGCGCTGTACAGCCTGAACGGAGCTGACCACCCGGAATCACCTGAAACCGTGAAGACGCTCTTCACTCGACACCGCGCAGCGAGAAGAAAGACCACCGACAACGCGTACACCGACGACTCGCTGCAACATCGTGATGCGCTCTCGTAAGGCGATGGAGCGCGAGTCGACGTGAAGGAATGTTCTTCACGTCATGGATGAAAAGGCGCGAAGGCATGTACGGCGAAAACTCTATAAGCGTCTTGCATTGGCGCAATGTCACGTGACGCGAGTGTTTATGTCCGGTTTTAGGGATGCTCGACGTGCGGCGTTGACGGACCGCGTCCAATTCAGCGAGAATGAGTCATCTCATTCTCGCTGAATTGGACGCGGTCCGCATGCACGGGAAGTTCCTCGATACATTGAACCATGGATGGACCGCTATGAGAGGATCCTCTCGGAGCTTCCCGTGTCGGAACTTCGCCGGATGCAGGAACGTTTCACGTTTGCCGCGGACGATCACGCTGGCAAGATTTACACTCATACCGTTAATATTCTCTCGGGTCTCGTAGTAGGTCTTGGAGTCGCTCTGGTGCTAGTTATCGCGATCATCTGTTCGTGAGCGTCATGACTTACGAGATCTTATCGTGGGAGCGACAACGTCACCAGCCTCTTCTTGGATTCGTAATCCGGAATCTACGTCCGAAATTTCTTCAACCAACATTTTTCGTGACTCCCATATAGTCTCCGCCAGTGAATATCCCAACCAAGGAACTTATCTCGGCTTGCTTCTTTGTGGGCGCTGAGCCACTACTCGTTGCATGCGACTTACGATAGTCATGATCGACAATCCAGCGTCGTGCGCCCGATGCATTGCCCAATGGAGGGAAAGGAACATCTCGGCGGAAGATTTTTTGTTAATGATTAACGATTTGCTCAATGGCGTGCCAGGTCCGCTAACCGATGAGCTGTGCTTTTGGAACAGGAAGCGCAAAACCTCTGCCCGATGCTTGCGAGATCGAGCGTGATCGCGCAGCTGCTGCGACGGAAGCTACTGAGACAACTATGCGGAAACAACAGGGACTGATTGCACGCCTTCGGCAGCTTGAGGCTTTACAATTGGAGCATACTCAGCGTTGAACGCCGAGTTCAACTCTAAAGTGGCTCTCTACGGTACCCATGGTCATAACTAAAGCTCACCTGATAGGCCCGAGTCTGAAGGAAAAGAAGTTGAGCTTTATGCTGTGGGGTCAAGGTCGAGGAATCTTGGTAGTGATGTTGGCTGTGATAGCGACTCACTGGATGTCGGTAATGTCACCGGCTCTCGTACGAGAAACCTATCGACCTTGGGGATACTACAAGAAGTACGGTATCTTCAGTGATATTTGGTATCGTCGATTGATGTGTCCAGTTACTGTTGTCAAGGACGGCGTTGCGGGTGCGGGTGGGGTCCATGCTGCTCAGTTGTGTCACACTGAGCAGATTCGAAGTCTTGCCGTTGGCATTCTTGTTTAAGAAAAAAATCATGTTCTGCGCTTACGTTGTGGGTAGCGCGACTTAAAGAAGGAGGTGATTGTAATGGGGCGATCTATTATATAAGTAGTCATAGCGATAATACATGATTTTACAAGTAGGCATAGGCTGTACTGGATATTGCAAGAAATTGCGGCATAATCAGTGCTCTCCTATAGAACCATAAGCTACAATAGTATATCTCAAACTAACAGTTTTTATTCAATGAATTCAAATATACCTGAGTCGGTGACCGGTAAATCTCAATAAGAAAATATAGTACCGACTTTTTAACTTGTCACAACGAATTTGGGCACCAACTATAAGAGTGACTGCTTTGTAGTAAATAATTGCAGCAGGGTTAACATTTATGACAGTTATGGCAGAATATTTCATACAATTACTGAAAATATCTCGGTAAACAATAGAATCGGTATTTCACGTTTAGCATCTGATTCCAGGGTGCAGACGTGAAAAAGTGTACGTCAGTCAATATGAAGATGATTATGGGGTTCGCTTCTCTTGTACTGGCTACTGCAGTGGCTACACTCACCGGCATTCTAGTGAAGAAAAAGCGCCATCACGACCTCAAGGCGTGTGGCTGTGCCGACGGCGAGTGCTGCAACTCGGTGCGTCCGTCAGAGCGGCGTTATCAATTGCCACATGCTCATGTGGAGCATTGGGATAAGCGTAGCGGCAAGTGTGACCCAAAATGGGCCCAACTGGCACCGGGAGATGCTGTAGAAGTAACAGGAGACAAGCCACGCAGCAGTTTCGGGACTCTAATCCTATTGCGTCATGGCCAGAGCGTCTGGAATCGCAACCCCGACCATCCCTCGGACCTTTGGCGCTATGCTGGTTCAATTGATATCCCCTTAAGGTAAAGAAAGGGGTTATAAAGAGACACCTTAGAGGCATGTGCTGGATGAATTATTGATGGAGACTTTTTTGTATTGAAAAAATAATAGTGAAGTGGGCATGCAAGAAGCTTTTGAAGCTGGAAAGCGACTTAAACACGTACCGATCGACGTAGTATTCTGCTCACAGATGGATCGTGCACGTACGACCATGTCACTGGCTTTGAGTGTTCACCCTAGTAAAAAAACACCGGTCGTGGAACATAGCTCACCGCTTGATAATCCAGCTTTTGAAGGAGTGAATGACAAGAACCCTTACGATTTTGTACGTACGCTACTGACTGATTGGTGTTGCTCTATTGCAGTGACTGATTTGTTTTTGGTGATACAGATCATTCCGGTTTACGTGTCACCTACGCTAAATGAGAGAAATTTCGGAGACTTGCAGGTTTGCATGTGTTTGTGTTTGTTGTTGCCAGTTCCAATCACGTACGCTGCTATCTCACATGTGGTGTTTTTCAGGGAGTGCCTAGCACAAGGCACACCCGTATGTTTGACAAAGAGCACGTGGTAAAAATTCGAAATGACTACTACACGCGGTTTCCAGGCGAAAATGGTGAAAGTTGTGAAGACATTCACAACCGGACAATTCCATTCTTCAACTCGTTCATTTTACCGCATCTTGCTGCGGGGCGCAATGTGTTGGTTTCCTCACACGGTTTTGTCATCCGGACGCTCATTAAGTACCTTGATGGAATGGATGCGGACGAGTTCAACGAGCAGATGAAACTGGAGAAGACAGCACCCGATAAATGCTTGCTGCTCGCTCCTACTGGTAGGTTGTTTGCCCAAAGCTCTGTGTCTTCGTAATTTCTAACATCAGGATTGTGTATTGCTGCCCAGGTGTCCCGCTGATGTACAAGTACAACAAGGGAAAGTTTACGAAGATCGCACAGTCGTGCCGCGACCGTGCCGAGAGTCTGAGCCGAAGCACCGCGCCGTATTAGATGATAGATGGAATTTTGACTGAGGTGCTGTCGGTAGGCTTCTACTCAGAGCAGCTAGAGTGCATCTGAGAGGTAGCAGTGGCTTGAGTACTGTATTTTACGCAGAACAGTACCAGTGCCACGAAAAGGATCAATTGCTATTTGTATTCGTGCGTGCAGCACATTTTGCTCTGTTTTCTATCTCCTGTCTGCTGGCGATAGTGGACTGAGCTTCATGCTTCACCAGCAGCTTCCTTCAAGCGCTTTACCAACTCTGCTTTCAAGCCCTTGATCGACAGACCTAGCTTTTTCAACTCCTCGCGCAAAATACTCACAGTCATCTGCTGAATTGGCTTGGGTGGCGTGTATGATACGGCATCCGCCTCCTCGTCTGCGTCCTCCATTTCCACGTCTGCAGGTATCACTTCTTTCGTCGCTTCTAAAACTTCCTTTTCCACTTCCACTTTGGCAATCTTCTCCGGCGTCTTAGCCCTGGAAGCTATATCCTTCTCAGGCACAACCGAGGCACGTGGTGGGGAAGGAGGAGACACTACACTCGTTACTGGAGCCACCTGTTGCTGTATGATCGAAACGTTCATCGGTACACTTTCACCGTGGGCCTCCTTCGGTGGGGGAGGAGGAGGCACAACGCTCACTACTGGATCCACCTGCTGCTGTGTGATTGAAACGTTCCTCAGTGCCTGTGTAGATACTGCCACACTTTCCCCGTGAGCCTCTTTCATGGCCCTCTGTCCAACAACCGAATTGAAAAACGCACTAGCAGCTTCACGATCCTGTCATGACAGAGAAAGCACGTGTGAATACGATTGTTTTCATGGTGGCACAAAACCAGCAAGGTTAATCGACAACAAAAACCTACACGAGGACGAATACGCTGGAAGTCAAGGACGTGCAGCTGAGGAAGTTTGTGAATGACGTATTCCCGATAGTATTTGCGTTTGGTCACCGGATTGCCACTGAGCGACAAGGTATCCAGCTTGGTAAAACAGACGAGATGATCGACCTCCGACAATTGTGCAATGCGGTTGCCAGTGAGCATGAGAAACTCCACATTAGCAATAGCCTCTGCTAAATTCTCCTGAATCTTTGACACATGATTGTTGTGCAACAAGAGCATACGAAGTCGACGAAGACGTGGAAAGTTCTCGAGTTTCTTGATTTCATTGTCTGATAGATCGATACAGTCAAAACCATCCTATCATCACAGCAGCAGCACGTGGTTTTTTTCCTGTTAGATTGACTAGAGGACATACAATTGCACAGATAATAATCGCACCTGAGTAACACCAAGATTCTCAATGGCAGGAGCTTTGTAACCTGTAACCTTGTCAGTAACCGGTTGTAAGAAGCGAAAAATAATGCGATATAGTACCTCGAAGGTTTATCTCACGCTCACGCAGCGGATTAATTGACACCTGCGCACGCAGAATCACGTCTGCTGTCAGTCGCATCACGTCTTTGATCTCCTGGCTACTTTTTGGTGGTGTGTGGTTGATAATAATCTTCAGTCATTGGTCAAAAGTTAATGTACGTATTATTTCCCTGGTTACATTCTTTTAAATTTAGGGGTTATATGCTCTAAAACGTAGTCTACTTACTAGCAGAGATCACTGCTCTTCCTCTAAAAGTGCTGGAGTTCGTACACTCCGAGGCATGACACCGAGTTCAATATCATCATACGAATCGTCTGCGATCGAATCCTGTGGTCTAGAAAGTGACAGGGTGAGACTTCGACTGCTGCTGGACTTGCAGGCCTTGGAACTAGGGACACTAGGGACGTCGGATACTTCCAAATCAGCGTCGTCCGTATTGACAGCAACCTCACTAGACACATCTGTTTCGCCATTGGCACGATGATATTCACGTTTGATCTGGATCATCTCGGGCGTGTGCACGAAGAAAAAGACGCCAATGCAAAAGAGCGCAATGATGTGCGCACTCACGAGATTGGGGAAGAAACACGTGTCATGGTTACGGTCCGACGGGTACGCATACGCCCATAAGGCGTATATAAGAAACGTTGGCAATACCATGCGAGAAATTCCCCAGACAATGTACGTGATGTAAATGGAACGCATGTAATTCTTCGAGTCCTGACGGTTCCTGGCATCCAAGAAACCACGTGCATTGAGTGGTAATGTCGCTAGCTCAACTAGTAAAAAGAGCAAGAGACCAAACTGGCACGCAGCACAGCACGAAATAAAGTTGTTGATAAAGTATGGTACTCTATTGATCAGAACATCAAAGAAACAGGGGACAGTGTTCGTTACAATCGCGGCTCCTTTGACCGTTATGAAGGAAGAAAAACATCCATAACGTACACTGCGACAATGTGGTGGATAATGAAGACCCATTTCATTGGCACTGGCCAGATAATGATGATGATTAAGTCACATAGAAAGTAACCAATTGCTGGAACACATTCAAGCAAATCAGCATCCATTCTCACACTACATGACTCTACAACTCATAAACAACAAATTGTACGTACCAATCGAAAAGATAAAGCTTGCTGCACGAATTGACGACATGGGCATGAACCCATGAGCCCATGATATATCTGCCAATGCATAAGCCACGCCAATCACGACCAGTATTGCGTGAATAGTCGAGTTCACTCTAGAAGAAGAAGAAAAACACCAACAACAGTATTTTTCGTTATTGCGACGCTCAAAGACAGGAAAGAAAAAAAGACTTTGACGCACCTCGAACACCAGTCTGCCTTTTGAGCGGATGTAAAGCTCAAGAATTCCCGCACGAATCGACTGGAGAGATACCACGAGAGACCAAAGTTGGCCCAAAACAATGCGAAAGTGATGCTTGTAACCAGCACGTTTTCACCAAAACGTACACTGCGTTCTTCCTGTAACAATTCATTGGCGCCATTGTACCATCCCATTTCTATTGTTTTTTTTTCTCGGGGTTCAAATAGAATAACAATTTGTCAAAAAAAAAGGTTTTTTTTTGTGACAAAAGACTTCGCCACCTTATCGCAGAAGAAAAGATGGGGTGACCATGATGACAAAATGAGGCATGTCAGAATCCACTCGGGCGGTTAAGTATATGACTGCTGTGACATTATTATTTGTATTAGGTACGCATTTGAAAGCTCCCTAACGTGTTTCTCATTGGTCAATAAACACGTAACGCCAGTGTCTACAATTTTCTATGTCGCCACAACGTTCGATAACGTACTAAATCGGAGTTCACATCTCGTGTTATACAAATACCAAGTGAATTAAAACCAAACGGGTCTGCTAAAACGGAGTGCGTAAAAACTACAGCGTGACTCCAAGTCTTGCAAGCAGATCATCATCATCGCTCTGGTCCGTCGAGTTGTTCGTGCTCGTCCACGCTGGCGACTGCAAATGACTCTCGTCCATCGATGTCATTGTCGTTGTAACGGCCCATCCATTGTCAGTCTTCGAAGTCGTCTTCATCTCGGGCCACAACGCTTCAACCGGCGGCTCCTCAATCTTTTTCACGTTTTCAGCCGGTGCAGCGGCCTTTACTACCCAACCAGACGCTGCAGGCGGTAAACCAGGTGGTGGTTGTAATACACGAGACGTGAGACATGACTGGAAACCAGGCGGGGCACTCGAAGACGGCGGTGGCGGCTTTACAGAGGCCAATAGACTGCTGCTTTGGGACAAAGTAGACATGCTGTCTCGGCGTTGTCGCTGTGACTGTTGCTGTGTCTTTTTGTTGCCTTTCGATGGAGTAGAAGTTCGATGACCTCCTCGCCGCCGTGTGACAGTAGCAGTTGCAGTAGCTGAAGCACTGATGCTGCTCTGTGTCTCATCACAGGAAGACCGTCGCAGGATCACTGTGTATCCTGCAGCATCCGCTTCGTCTTGAACGAGAGTAGAAGTAGTGGCTGTCGTCGTATCGCTTTTGCTATTCGATCGTCGTTTACCATGTCGGTTCTTAAGTCTTTCTGCTGAACGCTGTTGTTGCTGCTGCGGCTGCTGTTGACGACCGCTGTGCCGCTTGATCACGTACCCTCCAGGCTCTTCCTTCAGTTGACCAGAGCTTTCGAGCGCTTCACGCACAGAGTTGAATAACGGGCGGCTGTTTGGTGCTGTCGTGCTCTTTCCATTATCGTGGAGGTACGAGGTTTCGAGGCTAGAAGGCGGTGTAGACGGAAGGAGGGAGCTAACGATATCGTCTGTACCTTCATCTTTCAGAAGAAAAGCAGTGAGCTGTTCCGAGACAATAGCAGCGTCTGATGGTGGTGTGCCTGATGCGGGGTCTGCCATCTTCGTCGTGTCAAGTTTGATACTAAGTAACACACAAAGCGGAGCTCGTCCAACCGTTTGGTGTATACCGTTTTCTCATGTGCGAACCGGCGTAAATAAGAAATGGCGCAAAGCGAACGACAAACGGTGGCATCCGCTGTGTCACTTCGACATGGACATGTCTAACAACAACAAGCGTCGCGTCGCGTCGCTTGTTCCGTGTCGGCAACAATAATGGCAGGCTGCTTAGTACAACAAGACTGGGCTGTAGGAGCAAGCATAGAACGCAAATCCTGGATACTCCCTATCCGATCCGTGTGAACACCGAGGCTTACGAAATGGAGCGAGTTACACGCGCCGTGTTGGTCTGGCTGTAAAAGCTTGGGTGTTAAAAGATCCGAGTAAAAATCCGAGTATTGCTTGTGGCTCGTACCGAAGGATAAAGTGGGCGAGATCAACAGTGGCAGCATGTAGCTCTTCAACTTCAGCAGGCGGACCGAATGAATAGCCAGGCATGCTGTCGAGCATGGCAGTGATCAACCAGAGGATATCCATGACAGTCCAGCAAACGTTCGTAACAATCCGCTGATTCACTTAGTAGTGACGCATTCGAGTGTTACACTTTTGTCTGTCCATCTGCCGTGGTGTGCTGCTTGCTCTCGGATCAGACCCGAGCTCTTAGACCTGACGTTAACATGTTGCATACATGACAATAAAGACAAGTCCATCACAATATGCTCGCTATCACGTGTGTTGTGTCTATTATAGTGAGGTATAGCTATTGAGTTCAAGTCTTTCACTCTGATGCAAAACATAGTTACACTGCAGTAACAATGCCCAAAAAGGTCGAGTCTTTATTTGTAGACCACCAATTTCCAAACATCTGATACCGGTTCGTTTACAAGTGGTCATGCACCAGGTCTTTTTTTTCTTGTGGCTGTCCTCGTCAATGGTTTTGTTGCCACATTCGTGCTACACCGTCCCTCTCCATACCAAAACCAAGTGAAAAATGATGTTTGCGCAGTCGGCCTGACTTCTTTCTGTGCATATCAACAAGCACCAGTAGCTCTTTTTGCTCAGATTTAGATTAGCCGAACCTCCTTCTCGATCATGTTGAGAGCTCGTCAGTTCTCCCGTGCATTGCATGCCACCTCAAGACACCAACAGGTTCGTCGGGTCTTTTCATCGTCCGTCCGTGGACTACAAACGTCTGGACTTGACACAACGAACAAATCGCGTGAACTGTCGACGGTACCACTAAAGGATGAGCACAAACGCTCACCACCGAAAACCACAGACAAGTTCATTGGTAAGACAGGAGCTGAAATCTTTCACGAAACATTGGCAGAGATGGACGTGGAATGCGTCTTTGGCTACCCGGGCGGCGCTATCTTGCCGGTATTTGACGCTATTCACGAGAGCAAACACTTTGACTTTATCCTTACAAGGCATGAGCAAGGCGCTGGTCATATGGCTCAGGGTTATGCTCGTGCAACTGGGAAGCCTGGTGTTGTGCTTGTGACCTCGGGACCAGGCGCTACCAACACTGTTACACCTTTGCAGGATGCACTCATGGATGGCACCCCTATTGTGGTCTTCAGTGGTCAAGTGGCTACGCAGGTGCTAGGCACGGACGCCTTCCAGGAGGCCGACATTTTGGGTATCACTCGACCGTGCACCAAGTGGAATGTACAGGTGCGTGACGTGCGTGACTTGGCACGCAACATCCGCGAGGCTTTCCACATTGCAACGACTGGTCGTCCAGGACCTGTGCTGGTGGATCTGCCCAAGGACATTACAGCTGGATTATGCAAGAGTCCCGTTGCCACTGAGCCGCAACTTTTGGGTTACTATGGCGAGAAGAAGATTGAGGGCAACCGTGTGAACCAGGACGCGAACTTGGCAGCTGCTGTCAAGATGATCAACAAGGCGAGAAAGCCTCTGATCTTTGCTGGTGCAGGTGCACTCCATGCTAGCAAGGAGCTGCGTGCTCTTGCGTGCCAGGCAAACATTCCCGTGACCACGACACTGCAGGGAATGGGCACCTTTGATGAGCGCGATCCTCTCAGCCTGCACATGCTGGGTATGCACGGTTCGGTATACGCCAACAAAGCCATGCAAGACGCTGACTGCATCATCGCCCTTGGGGCACGCTTTGATGACCGTGTGACGGGTCGTGTGCCGGACTTTGCGCGTGAAGCACGCCGTGCTTCTGCCGAGGGGCGTGGTGGCATCATTCACTTCGAAATCACGGGCAAGCAGGTTGGCAAGATCGTGCCTGCCGATATTGCCGTGCTCGGCGACACCAAGTACAACCTGCAGCAGATTCTACCCATGGTCGAGTCCAAACCGCGTAGCGAATGGCACAAGAAGCTACAGGGATGGAAGGCAAGGTATCCGTTTCGTTACCGCCCGGCTGCTCCCGGTGCATCAATGAAGGCGCAGCGAGTTATTGAAGAGCTGTACCAGCAGACGAAAGGCCGTGATGACGTGCTGATTACAACGGGCGTTGGCCAGCACCAGATGTGGGCTGCTCAATTCTACAGATGGTCGCATCCAAACACAATCATTACGTCCGGTGGTTTGGGTACGATGGGTTTTGGTCTTCCTGCTGCAATTGGCGCCAAGGCGGGCAAGCCTAATTCCATCGTTGTCGACATTGACGGCGATGCGAGTTTCTCCATGACGCTTTGCGAGATGGCGACTGCTGCCGAGTTTAACATTGGCGTGAAGGTGTTGCTGCTCAACAACAATTTCCAAGGCATGGTCAAGCAGTGGCAGGACTTGTTCTACGAGGAACGGTACTCTGGTACTAAGATGAACAACCCGGACTTTGTCAAGTTTGCCGAGGCTATGAACTGCGAATCTTTTCGTTGCTCAGAGGAAGACACGCTGGAGGAAGACATGGCCCGGTTCCTTGCTGCCGAGGGTCCTATTTTAGGTGAGTTTATGGTTGAAAAGAACGAGCACTGCTACCCGATGGTCGGAGCAGGTCGTTCACTGGACGAAATGATTATCGGCGACTTTGACGACTGCTCGGGCACCACCTCGGTCTAACTCAAAAGTATGGCACGAGAGCAATCAATCAAGTACATATAGTAGATAAACAGCTGCCTTGAGTTGTGCTCGACGGAAGAAATGCTGTGACAAATGCACGTTTAGTTGATAGAGACGCCATCTTTGTTCTGCTTGGAATAGTACCATTTCTATCTTCCGAAACACTCCGAGCTCAGTTATCCAGCATCGACGTTAGCTCGCTTTTAGCATAGAGATCCATTATACTATCACAGCCGCCAATGTGTTTGCCATTCATAAAGACGTTAGGCACTGTACGTTGACTTGTAATATCCAGCAGTAGCGTCTGAATCTCGGCTCCATCGTCCCTCGTATCGAGCTCCACGACTTTGTACTTGATGTCCAATACATTAAATATCTCCTTCACGCGGGCACAGAAAGGGCAAGTGGTCTTGGAAAACACCAGTACCTTTTCCTTCGTAATGGCGTCCTATTGTAATCAAATGCATGATAAAAGTTATCCATTACGTTGCAATTGTGATGAGATAGGAATAAAGTAATGAGACGAACGGTAATTGATGTCCTGGATGCTTCGACGTGGAGTGCACGAGCACCAGCAGGAGAGAAGCGCGAAGCACGGTCAAGGACAGACAAGACGCGGCGAGTAAACATTAGCAATCTTTAGAATCAGACGCAACCGTAACCTGACATTGAAATGTCAGGTTATGATTACGTCTGATTCGACAGACGACGTAAATGAAATACTGAAAGGTGATAATATAAATGACGCAATTATTGTGACGAATATAAAAATGACGCAATTATTGTGACAAATGGATTTAAACCGCAATTATTGTCATGTCCACCAAAGACGATGCGCTGGCGAAACTTCGGACGCGAATGGCACAACCACCCAAGGATTGGGTTGACGTGGTGATGGTGAAGATGCTCAAGGATCCTGTATACTACGGTGTATTGGGTTTAAGCGTTTTCTTTGTGCTTGCAATCATTGCACTTATTGCGACCAAGTTAGTGCTAAATCAAATAACGCTCGAGGAGAAACAAAAGACGCGACAGATAAAGAAGAAGAAGAAAAAGCAGCACTAGAGAAAGACGTCAATGGATTTTTGCAGGACCGTAAACTCTAGAATCTAATCGACCACACTTGCTTGCTCGTGCTTGCCAAAACTGGGCTGTCTATGACTTTCTAACGTGAAGGGAACACCATCACGGGAAAATGTGGATGGATGGAAAAATCAAACTCCATCTGTGTCTTGACATCTTGTAAAGACTTCTTCATCTTATTTCCTCCTCCTGTATTCTGGCTGCGTTGTGCAAGACGAACGCAATTCGAAATGGACACCTTCAGCAACGACTGTAGCTCCAAACCACGGACAAGTCCTTCACCATGCGTGGTTCCGATGGTATTGATTCCTTCTTCATTGCTCAGCAATGCCTCTGCATGTGTCCGTGCTGTCTTGAAACACTCCTCAGCTGACCTGTAAATAAGGTCCAGTTCGTACGAAGAAAAGTCGCTGGTCTGATTAAAGTCCTCGTACGTGAGTGCAGCAGGGTAATGGAGTTTCTGAAAAGCTGCAAAACGATGCTGGAATCGAATCGTGAATGTACTGTACATGGGAGACTTTACCTCCACCAGCCCTTCGCGTTCCAGTGCCTTAAATAACTGGAAATACGCACGCATTAGACTACGCAGTAACTCCGTGTACTTGATCTCGCGGAGAAAGCGTGCCTTGGTAGTGTCAGTAGGCCTGCCTATCGGATCTCGAGATTCTGAAATGGCCGTAGCAATACCATTGTGGTGTTTCTTGTGCTTTGTCTTCGATCTCTTAGACGATTTACTTATTGCAGCTGGTGGTGGCGGTGGAAGCGTAACAGTCTCCTCTTTCAGCTGCTCCATTGCCGGTGGCCCACGACGCTGAGGCATGACTTCCTTCAGCTTCTGTACGAAAGTCCACGTGACGTTCAAATTTTGGAGACGTGAGCCTTCCAAGTAATCCAGATACCTGCGTTGATAAACTGTTAGACCACTACAGCGCCTATCAAATTCAAGCGAGAGCACACACACCAGTAGACCGTTCCAAGCTCTGAAGGCGCGTAAAGTTCCATCTCTAACCCCAGCACCACGTATTGAACCATCAATTGCACCGATTCCTCGAGAGACCAGGCAGTAAAGTATCGCGGGTATGCAGCTTTCTGTGCAACACTCACCAGTGTGAGCAAATGCAGTGAATGAAGCACAAGTGGCTCAAGACGAGCAACGTACCGGGATCTTCATCTCCGTCGTAAACCTCTCATCTACGGCAGTAGCTTCCGCCTGAAGTATGCTCCACTCATCCAATAAACCTTCAATTCGCGCACGCTGTCGCGATCGGTTGTGTAAAAACACCTTGAGCGACTCATACACGGTTTCAATGCACCGGGACGAGTACAGTACGCCCTCCTGCGTCGACAGCAGTACAGAAGGTACCCCTTTCGTTACCATAGTTTCCGACAGCCAATCCATGAAGTTGTATTTGGCGTAGATTTTACTGTCAGCGTACAGAAAGAGCTAGATTGAATGAGTAAAAACAAGTCAACGTAAGTAGTTTGGCAGTATGAGCACATTACTCAGAAACTTACCAATACATAAGATCGCACAACAATTGTGGGTTGCTGCCTAGAAAACTCAGTCAAGAAAATGCGCAGGTCTTCCATGCAATTCCAGTCAGGAGGAGAGCAACCAATCACCATTTCTTCCAGCACCTTTTTCATCTGTCCGAGCGTCTCGTCAATTAAGGGCACCTTTATATCACGTGGTGGTGATCCAGATAGAAGCAAGCGACTGATGCTTGGATCAAAGCCAATGGATTTTCCAGTAAAACACTCCGGGTCTAGCTCAAGCCGTTCAGTAGACATGCCTTCAACCAATTCATAAGCACGCTCAAAACATTTCCTGACACGCTGTAAATCCAATGCTCCGTCTGCTAAGCCTAGACACGCATAGGCAGCAAGGAGCTCTCTTCGCAGCTGAACTCGTCGAATAAAAGCTTCGCACATCAAGGCACCAACCCGAGCGTTCGAACATAGCAATTCATAGCCAGACGCGCTGGCAGTTTCGGTACTGCTCGAACCTTCCCTGTTTGTCTTTTTGCTGAGCTTCTTCTTTGATGACTTCTTTGACAAAGCAGCCTTATGTTGCGCAAGCAGCACCTCCAGTCGTTCATGTGTCACCTGAAGCATCGTATTCAAAGTTTTAACAGACATCGGCGCCAGAACACCAGCATTAAACCCATTTCCGGGTGAAAAATCTTCCTCCTCGTAAATATCGGCACGTAGAACAGCATCACGGATCAGATCTGCAGTCTTCAAAGTAGCCAAAACCACAGCACACATGACAAGTCGTAGCGAGTCCTTTGCAGATTTGCCCACATTATCCTTTACAAGTCTCCGTACATCCACATCATTTGCTACCAAACTCTCCAACGGCGTTACAAGCTGCGCAAAAAGAGCATTCAGCACGTCTCTGTGCATGTACACACTTGTAAGTAACGTCTGCACTAATGGCAGTCCATTCAGCCATCCCGTCTCACAGCAAAATAATTCATCTAATGTAGCCAGTACGTCACGAGCTGATAAAAACTCAAGAGGTACAGCACCACTTTCCAATCGAGCTGAAATTGATTGGGGAGGTGCTCCATTCACGAGCATTCCAGAATCCATTTTAGGATCCATAAGTTCCAATGCCGACATGGAATCAAAGAGTTTAAAATCATCTTCATGCATTAATTGTCCCACTTTTAGTTCCTTTGCTGCAACACTCATCAACTGTCCATACAAAGTTTAGCATTTAATATCGCTCTTTCTCTCGCATATAGATAATTCAAGTCACACTTACTTGCGTCACATCTCGCCATTCAGCATCAAATGGCGACCGCTGAAGCTGTAGCTTTGTCTCTATCTCGTTATGAAGTATTCCCCCGTCACTGTAGCCATCAAAGCAGTCAATTGGTTAGTTCTTTGCTGTTTTACGTGCGTTTTTGCTGGAACTTTAGCGATAATGTATAGAATAAAAAGAAGCAGAGATAGCACTTGTATATGATTGTATATCGTCGCACCTCATTCTATAACCGTGATATGTAATGAAGAGGAAGAGTTCGCCCAGTCAGTCGTATGCTTTTCAGGTTATGAGGTAGTCTAAATGGTGAAATTTAGGCTGTCCTAGACTAGGAATGGCCTAGTTTAAGTTAGAGACCACAGATGGACAACTTAAACGCTAACTCTATTTGCGCTCTAATTGTAACAATTCGTAGTGGTAGCCGTAATGTGAATCAGTATTGTCTGTCTTCCCTACCAAACACTTGAGCTCCAGTAGGAGCGATGCCAACGATAACGATTGTCATTACTGAGAGAACGCTCGGTTTATTACTATACTATACGCTAATAAGTGCCCTCAAGCTACAAAGCTGCAAAAGCTCCTCCATCCAGATCAACGGATACCCAAAAACCTTCATGGCCCGCACACAAAGTCAAGCCGATGGATGCAGGCATGCATGCACCTCACGGCTTCTTCTTATGTTCAAATCTTCTTCCTCGTACCCGCGCTGCTGACTGGCTCCCCTTGCAATTTCGTGTCTTTCTCGGATACCCCTCTTCTTCCTCACCTCCTCCGCCTTTTCACCATCTCGCATCGTCATCACCTCTTCACCCCTCGTTTGTTCCCTTCGGATTGCCGCCTCCACCACACATCTTTCAGCGGCATATTGGCCTGCCACCTGACGGAAACAGCCTATGCCACCTCGCAACGTAAACGTGGCATGCTCAAGCTTCTTGCTTTGTCCGCTTCTTTACCCGCGACGATGACGCTTCGGCAGTAGAGTTGGCTTCACCCTTTCGTCTGGCTCCTGTCAGAGTCCGTCGCTACCGAAGGCAACACACATAATTACAGCTTCTGTTAAAACAGAACAGAGATGGATAGACACATAAGTCGAGCCACCTCAATGAACGACACGCCCTAAGAAAACAACACGCAATGAAAACACGGCACATGACCACTCCTCATATGTCATGGTGCTCTCGCGCTATTTACCTCGCTAAGCAGCACTGCACAGCTGAAGCGAGAAGGACGCGAGAGACCATTTCAATCACCATCTAGCTACCAGTGGATAATAAATAACCACGGTATCTCCGGTTTGCAACACATATTCCTCCTTTCTCCCCTTATGTACACGTATGCAAGGGCAATAATCGATGTTTCATTGGTCAGTTTTGCTTACCTGCTGCTGGGTCTTGTCTTCATCCTCGTCCTCTTTTGCAAGGATTGCAAGGCGTCGGCGGTTCTCGGATTTGTTGTAAATTTTGTAGCCAAACACCCGCGGCACATACAACAATGTAGACGGAGCTGGCTCGAGTTCTCTGTAAGTCAGGAAAAACAGGTGCGGGAACGTCGTACCGAAATATGCGCCATCAACTGCAAAGAATGGACCATTTGTTAGCTATTCCACACACAAACTTAACAACTAGAGAAAGACACATACTTGTAGGAGTCTGGTACTCGCTCGCTGGTGTGTACAGATCTCGGCACTTGGGGCAGTACACTTTCATCTCTGATTTCTTCCATTCATCGTGAAGTCCCGCCTGTACATTCATATCAAGAAGAAGCCCTTCAATCATCTAGCTACCAAACAATAAAGCTATATATATATATATATATGACAACTTACTGGAACAACCGGATGGCCGTCACAAAGTGCTCGGGGACACACTCCAAAGTCACCTTCTCGGTACTTCTTCATCTAAACACACAACAGCCACATGAGTCCCTTATCACTTATTCTACATCACAATTACATCATTCTAGTACCATAGCATCCAATCCATGAGCTGTAATGATATATCGAGCATGAATCAGGCCGTAGAGCTCGGCTGCATACGCTGGTACATCATCATCGTATGGGATGTCTAGAGCCAGTCATTTATTAATGTATCAATTATATTTTCGTTAGTTGTTAATAAAAAAGGGTCACAGATAAAAGCTCAGCCACTTCAAACAAACCCGTCATATCGAGAATAATGTTAAGTGCGTCTTGATAATTGCGCACCATGGCACGTAAACCATAGAGGTTGAACGAGTCTTCGATGTAACTCTGCGCCACCTCGCAGAAGGATTCATTGCCTGAGAGACTACAGAACCACTGTACCCATTTCTCATCCTCTTCTTCGTAATCTGACATACTAAGTAAACAATATCTTGCACTTCCAGACACACACTCGTGACTTTCACTCCGGTCCACCGAGGTGTTTTCTCCTTGTTTTATTTCAGTCCTCTTGGGGGGCTCCCTCTCTAAAACGATTGAAACTTGATCTAGCGCACTTTAATGTACCTGTACTGAAAGGATTGTAGCATAGCTGCCAATAGTATGATCAGATACAGGCGTGATCATTACGATACGGTTAATTTTAAGCCCAAAACTGGGGTTTACCGTGGCATGTTACGCACGGTTTTCACACGACTCAATTCCCCTATTTGGAATAATAACAATGTTATTTTCTCATCGTTATGTATATGTACTTGCAATATAAAAATGTTATGTTTCGCACTTGGTTTTTTTCTTGTAGCTGCTTGTGGCTGCGACTTTTTAGCAAGCGGTAACATGCTACTTGAAATGTATTGGACTTTAAATTACCGACTTTCTTGATAAGGTGTAAAACCAATCATCTCTCTTAGTGGCTTCAGCATGGCCTGGACGTAATTTATGGCTGACTCGGAATCCTGCCCACAGAACCGCACAATCACTGCGTTTGGACCCATCGAACTTGCTGATGCTATAACTCCTGGAAATGTATTCGCCGCCGCAAGACGACCTTGAGGCGTGATGTCCCGTGAATGATGGAGTTTCTTGCGGGTGCTAAGCTCGAGCAGTTCATCCATAATGACCTTTAACTTGGATCCAACGACTACCATTAATCCCAGCACGTGCATGCCGTGCATGCGCTGACGAAGACTTGTACCTTCTTCGTCTACGTACCAGCAGTGAGTGAACACAACATGAAAAACATGCCCACTGAATCATTGCTCGGACAATAAAACGACATTCACGTCATACCGATCAGACGAACACGATCTGTCAGGAGTCGTTCCTTACCGACAAAAACCTCCGACATGGTGTCATACTCGTTAAAGTCCCAGTGTTCAAGTGTCTCCATACGATTATCACGAATTGAGCCTGTGGTCAAGTAGTTTCGTTTTCGACCGCTTGTTAACCAGTCAACAAACACCAAATTTGCATCTATCTCAAGATGAAACACTTGCTTTTGTCGATATTTGGCGTGCTCAAAGCAAGTCACAGGGTCAGGAAGAAACGCCATTGTAGCGTTATTCGCCACTTTGACCGAGAACATCTGCGACACAGATTGACCCTCATCCTCTGACTTGAATACTTTTGTGGTCGCCTGCGTGCCCAGCACGACTGCAACAACACATCACAGTACCTTAGTCACTTCACAATTCAATGCATTCCATCGCCTTTTCTGGTCTCACCTGTTGTATCGGGGCCTAGTTCGCATTCGATGACAATGGAATCACCACCAACCAGACCTCCACCGTATCCCAGAATGTACTGAACGAGCCAGTATTATCTCATTAGTACTGAACAATGTATGCAATCTTACATAGATTCAATAACACGCACGGTGATGTACGTGTCGAAATTCTGGTGGATCGTTCGTCGCGGGTGCAGGAACTTGAGCGGATACGTTGCGTACACGTACGTAGCCGCGGTGCGACCCTCCACGGCTTCGTACTTGAGCTTGCCAGTCGTCCCTCCCTCACTTGTCGTGCTTGTGTTTATATCAGTCCAATAGGTCATGGAAGTTGTTGCTGTGCTAGTTCTTGTAAGGAGAAAAAGTTCCTATATATATGTTACAGACATAGTAGTTAATGCATTAGAGCTATGTCAGCTACTGTAAATGTAATAAAAAACAAGCAAATACATGTATTTTCAAAAGCTCCGCTATAGTTTTGCCATCTGACAAAATCGGTCTGTTGCAAAGCTATTTGTTATTGTCTTTGTTTTCCTGGCTCGCTATCACCACTGTACAGCTAGATATTATTCGTGTTGCCTCCATGCCCCACAAGATGTAATATGGTCGCGTTATAGCGTGGATGCTTTGAGCGGCCATCATTCACCACTTTGTTGAAATGATAGCGCGGCTTTTAAAGATGTTGGAGAGACTGTAATTGCTCGAAAGAAAGTAGTTAGCATCACCGACTGGGTGAAGCTCCACAAGGCACTAAACAAGCCTGAATTATTATTGTACATGATGCCCTGACATCACCTGCAGCCGCAGCCTTTATGCCGCACGACCACCATCATCTATTCTTGCGATCGATCACCCGAGTGATTCTCATCATTGTCGTAATGCATTCATTTTACAATTAAACAAGCCTGTGGCATATTAATCCTGGATAGCGTCCACGTCCTGAGTAGAGGATCGACATTCGTCAAGGAGAAGACAGGATATTGTCAGTGACAAAACGTGCCAATTAATGGTAATGTCAACGTGTAAATTGGACAACTTGAGAGCCTTCTCCAACAAGTAAAGGGTACAACAATAATGGCTCTTGAAGCCTTCAACAAAAGCTTCCAGCTTTTCGATATCTTCTTCTATCTAGGTAGGCAAGACATAATAAAACATGTAGATTTACGCATAGCTTTCACTAATAGCACAGAAAAAACAAGCTTACAACGTGTCTCACACCTTTGGGCCGGGTCCAGCTAACAAAGGAGTCAGGGACTTAAGTTCTTTCAGCAATCTGAACCTTGGGTCAGGCAGGACCTGCCAGGTTTCTTTTTATTATATAAAGTCTCTTGTGTACGGTACACATGATCCGATAAGTTTTAACCTCTGTTAAGTTATGGATATAGTCGTCCACCGTACCCATAACATAACGGAGGGAGCTCTGTATTATCAAAAAGCAATTGTGTCTAAGCGTTGCATAAATAGCTCGACACACATCTTTATAATAAATCTCTATCTGTCTCTATCACTTGACGTTACGCAAGCACTGTCTGTATCAGGCATGAGCGATTCTTTACGAGACAAGCAGTTCTCTCAGTCCTCCATTGACGCGGCTACTGTCGCATCATTTCCAAATCTGTCGCCCGTGCACGAAGCCGAGGAGACGAAGCCGCCGGTCATCAACATTACTAGTCAAAACGACGTGGTCAGAATGGGCGTTACTGACCGTCAAGACGACGACGATGTGGCCGTTAATTCCGTTGCGCTCATGGACGTAGACGACGAGCAACAGCAGCAAGTGACGATCGATACACGGCTACCTTCTTACTCGTCGTCTTCAAGCAATGGCTACACACTAGAGAACGATCTGCGTGCCATGAACAATCAGATGAAGCGTGTGTTGGCTTTTTGCGAGACTCAGCGTGAGAATCCGCTGCGGTTGCAGACCAGGATCATTGACTTGGAGGAACAGCTGCGTCAAGTCATTGCTGAGAAGAATTACTGGATGAAGCGATGCAAGGACCTCATAGGTCACCAGCCATCCGCCGTCGAGAGCTCGAAGATGGATCTGCATGACGTTAAGAAATGTCCTCGCAAACGCTCAAACTCGGAGCTCATCGTGATTGCCGACACGTGGGCACAGCCTGGCCGTGATGGTATTTACAGTGAAGACACTTCCAGCGTCGTGGAGAGCGATGCGTCTTTCGGCTACAGTAAGACTGAGCTCGTGGACGATGGGGCCGCTATGCGCTCGTGTTTCCGGCTATTGCAGTGCTCAGACGAGCAGTGCGAGGTATTCAACCCCACGAATCGCAACATCCGTACGCATCACTGCTCGCGTAATAATGTGCAGCTCATGTGGGACGAGCCGCCTAAGTCGGTCCTCATTGTGAAGAAACCCAACGAACCGGAAACGACAGACATGCTCGTGCGACTGGCTCCTTGGCTTCATACAGAGAAGAACATTGACATTTTTCTTGAACCTGATGTACATGAAGAGATATCGTTGCCAAACACTAAGACATGGGGCAGCAAGCCAGAGGAGTGGGAGGAGTGTCAACGAAGAATTGACTTTGTAATTTCTCTGGGTGGTGATGGCACGGTGCTGTGGGTTTCTTCACTCTTTAGCAAGAGCGTCCCACCCGTTTTCTCGCTGGCAATGGGATCACTGGGGTTTCTAACTCCGTTTAAATCTGACAATGTTGTGGAGGAACTTACCACTGTCATTAATGGGGGCTTTTACATGTCATTGCGTTCACGTCTTACATGTACCGTGTACCGTGGCGGCAAGGAGCGCAAAATTAGTGGAAACTTGCACGCGTTGAATGAAATTGTGATCGAACGCGGGTCATCGGGTGCGCTTGTAGAGCTCAACTGCTTCTGCGATGGTCTTGAAGTCACCAAGATTGCTGCGGACGGTATCATCATCGCAACGCCAACAGGCTCCACAGCATACTCGCTTTCAGCAGGCGGATCCATGGCCCACCCTTCTGTGCCATCGATGCTGTTCACTCCGATCTGTCCACATACCTTGAGCTTCCGACCTCTAATTTTCCACGACAGCGCGACACTAAAGATTGAGTTTCCTGCCACCAGTCGTGCGTCAGCGTGCTGTGTCTCTTTTGATGGCAAAAATCGTGTACATATGAAGCGTGGCGATAGCATAGTCGTCCGTGTCTCGTCCTACCCGCTGCCATCAATATGTCGGGTGAATGAGAACCAGGATTGGTTTGAATCAATGATAACGAATCTCAACTGGAACCAACGCCGTGCTCAAAAACCCTGGCAACCTCCTGTCACCCGCAAGATTTAAAATTCGGAGCTCTCGTCACGACTAAGTTGCTGCATCGTACAGACTGGTAATGGCAGCGCACTACAATGCTTGGCGGTATTATTTGCCTGGCCCTATTGGTAAAATTACCACGACACTGTAGTTTCTGCATCCAAGTGCGTAAGTAAAATATTTAAATTCTTTCTTAAGTTGAGCTAGCTATAGTAATATATGAGTGAATGTAAATGATCCCTCAAGAGTGTAGGTCCCGTTTACCTTTTTTTGTTTTTCGTGTACTGCACTTCACGTTTCGTATGAGGTGTGGTCCACCTCATCGTTGTCGCTAACCTTTGCGCACCAGTCAAATAGTGTCTGTTGCAATAGAAAAAGCAGGTTTTGATTGCACAAGTTTTTCGTCAACGTCTTGAGTTATGGCGAGACTTAATAAGCGCAAATTAAGCTCTTCACCCGCTGTAAAGACGGCAAAAGCTTTCAAGTATGTAAAGGAAGCGGTTAAACAAGAACAACGTAGTGCCAAGAGCAGCAACAAGGCGCAACTTTTTGACTCTGAAGAAGAAGAAGAAGAGAAGGACAGTGAAGAAGAAGGACCTGAAGCAGATGACGGGTTTTCAGACGTCAACAAGAAGTGGCTGAAGCTGAAGAAGAGCACAGACAGTGAGATTGGGAGGAGGAGGAGGAGGAGGAAGAAGAGGAAGAAGAAGAAGAGCTTGATATTGAACGAAAGGCTCGTCTTTTGGATGAAGAAGAGGTGTTACAGGCTCAAGAAGCTGATGAAGAAATGCGGCTAAATATTGCAAACAATGAGCCATACCATCTTCCAACTGAGGAGGAGCTAGCAGAGGAAGGTGAAGGTGACAACGACATGTCGGACCCTGCTGATGTTTATCAGCGTATTAAAGATGTGGTAGAAGTTCTGTCACAATTTAGTGCACGTCGTGAGCCTGGTCGTTCTCGTGTGGACTATATGGAATCACTGGCTAAGGATTTGGCTGGATACTTTGGCTACAACCGTGAGCTCATTGACATGTTCCTGAAGATGTTCTCGCCTGCAGAGTGTGTTGAGTTTGTAGAGGCCAATGAACAACCACGTCCTCTGGTTATCCGTACCAATACGTTGAAGGCACGTCGTCGTGATCTCGCACAGGCACTTATCCAACGTGGTGTGAATCTTGACCCTCTCGCCAAGTGGTCGAAAGTGGGTCTGAAGATTTACGATTCACCTGTACCTATTGGTGCTACGCCCGAGTACTTGGCGGGTCACTATATGCTACAGTCGGCATCGTCGATCTGTGCTGTGATGGCGCTTGCTCCGCAGATGAACGAGCGCATACTGGATTTGGCTTGCGCTCCTGGCGGTAAGACCACGTACATTGCCCAATTGATGAAGAACACGGGCTCTATTATTGCTAATGATCTGAAGAAGCAACGTTTGAAGGCGACGGTTGCGAACCTTCACCGTCTTGGCGTGAAAAACACATCGGTGTCGTGTTACGATGGCCGCAAGATCCCGTCACTATTTAAGGGCTTTGACCGTGTGTTGCTGGATGCTCCATGCACAGGAATGGGTGTTATTGCTCGTGACCCGTCCATCAAGACGCAGAAGGGTGAGAAGGACGTGCAACGTCTCGCTCATTTGCAAAAGGAGTTGCTTCTAGCTGCCATTGATGCCGTTGATGCCAAGTCGAAGACAGGTGGATACATCCTCTACTCGACATGTTCCGTCATGGTTGATGAGAACGAGTCAGTTGTTGACTACGCTCTGCGCAAGCGATGCGTAAAGCTTGTGGAAACTGGACTGGACCACGGCAAGCCGGGTTTTACCCGCTACCAGCAGCAGCGTTTCCACCCGTCGGTGCAGCTCACTCGCCGATTCTACCCACACGTGCACAACATGGATGGTTTCTACGTTGCTAAGTTCAAGAAATACGCGAATATAATGCCCTCAGAGGAGAAGGATGCAAAGAAGACAGCTGATGAACTTGATGAGGAGGCTGACGAGGCAAACATGACGAAGAAGCAGCGTGTGAAGGCCAAGAAAGAACGCAAGCAGGCGGCTGAGGATGTTGAGGCTGAGGTCGTCCAGGAAGACCAGAGTGATGTCGAGGAAGAGGAGACGAAACGACCGGCGAAGAAGCCGAAACAGGAGATCAAGACCGACAAGATCAAGCAGCACAATGTCAAAGGCAAGAAGCACGGTGGCAAAGGCAAGAAGCCGGGATGGCCGCGCAAGAATTAGACAAGCTGGTGCTAGGAAGGCCGCGCAAGGATTAGACAAGCTGGTGCTAGAAAGGCCGCGCAAGGATTAGACAAGCTGGTGCTAGGAAGGCCGTGTTGGATATCATTCCAATAGTCCTTCAAGGATAATAGATAACTTTTTATATGTTCATGGCATTCAATTCGCATCTGGCTGTCGCTCATGATACAAAAGTGTCGATCGGTCTGTCTCAAATAGCTTAATGTGATTCCACACGCGACAGAAGACGTTGCCACAGCTAATAAATGCATCTCGGTCTGCACATGTGGTGCATGCCAATTTGAGAGCCATCATAGCCTTTTCGTGTCGAGTAGACGCAGTGTGAATTGCTAGCAGACTTCGCTGTGGGTCGGCAATGCACTCTTTGCACAACGTGTCGTTCCCAATTGACCCACAAAGTCGGCAGTGCTTGCTCATGTAGAATGAGTCGATAGATCGAAAACCACGTCGAGTTGACGTGACGCTGTCATACGCTTGTTGACGAGCTTTCACGGACGACCGAGGCAGGGTTGCATACCACGAGCGAATATTGGCTCCAGTCAACAGGAAAAGCCGCTCAAGGCTTGGAATGATCTGTAGTAAGCAGTGTTAGTTCAGCAAGACAAAGCCTCCGAGTCGATGAGAGTATCATCGTACCTGTTTGGTGATATAGTAATGATGATTGACACTATAATGCTTGTGCTTGTCGAAGTACTCATCCGGTGACACAACCAAGTCCATCAACCGTGCGCCGGGAGGTCCGTTTACTACAACATAGGGTACCCGCTCGGCATACCGTGGTTCTGCTCGTGGATCTTTTCCCATAGCTTTTATACTGACGAGTGCTGCAGGAGGAGCACTACAAAAAGAAATTGAACAACCACTTACTCATAAACACCAGCAACCCAATGGTTCGCACCTTCCACTGACGTAGGTCCCTAAGCGAACTTCTTTAGCAAAGATGAACTCTTTCAGTGGTACTCGATCTCCCAGAATTTGCAGCCAGTATTTTTCCAATCCCTCCTTCACCTTGGACAAGTCACACGATTCAAAGAGCTTCTCCAGCGACTGTTGCATTGCATGTTGAACGACCCCGCATGAATCGCGTCGAACTGTCTCGATCCCTTTTGACTCAATAACACCAGCCTCTTGTGTTGGTGACTCAAATTTGTTGCCAACGTACCGCTTTTTAGATACAAGTATACAGCCCATATACACTTTCTCCAACTTAAGCGTCACAGGTCTATGGACATCGTACAAGATGATGGTAAGGAACGGTACCTCAAGCGTCGAATGATAGAAAACACAGGCATATTTACCTTGGATTCGAAGCAGTAACCGCATCAGCGATTTCTTGTCCGATTCGAAAGGCATCTTCTTTGGATCTTCCCTTCAATAGAACAAAGACACTATCGGTATCGCCGTACACCACCACCTTGGCATTCCATTCTGAGCACCCTTCTATCAGTCGAACAGCAGCTTCAAGCGTGCATCTTCCAGTCTACCGTAATTGGAAACAGCCAACCGATGCATAACAATAAGTAAAGTAAAGCAAAGTACAAAGTGAACAAGCTTTTGAACCTACCTGAACGATGGCATCAGCCAGTTGAGCACACGGCATGCGTCCCGAAAACCCAGCCGCCGTGTAGCCATATGTCACATTCGAGATCATTTTCAGCGCTAGCTGTCGCGCATTCAACACCTTTACTAGTCGATCCTGGTTGAACTGTTTTGCAGACTTCATCGATTTCTTCACCATAATCCGCGTTGACAAAATTTCGTCTAGGATAAGCGGGAGAACTCCATGTCGATACGTTTTGGGACAGAACAATGTTCCATTCGGTGCAATGATCATATCGTCTTTGCATTGCAAAAGTCCGGTGGCATCTGGGGTGAATTCGACTACTCCAAGTGATGTCTCTAACTCGGGATTCAGCCCATCCTTCAAGCTTCCTAGAAGAGTTGAATAGCACAGATTGTACCCGATCACAAGTGATGGATACAAAGACTATGACACCAACAACGAAGGAAAACATTACTTTCAATCAGCAAATATAGAGGATTTCGAGCAACTAAAAGCACATCCGTACCTGAAAATCAAGAACGACGACAGGATCTGAATAAAAGCTCGAGTGTGGTTCCATCACAAGTGGAATGCACTCCATCGGCGCCTGACCAGCCACCTGATTTCTGCTTGGTGATACCAATAAGAAATTCTTTCGCTTCGTCACGCGCAACATGACAGCCTCGACTCGGTACTGTGACCCTCGCGACAACACAGAGTAAAAATCTATCCCAAATAACCGAGCCATTTCGCTAGACCGATCATAGTTCAGAAACAAACATGTTTAGGAAGCGTACCAGGCAAAGCCACAACAAAAAGAGAAACGTACCTTGTCCTAGTGATCAGCTGCATTTTAGAAAGAATTCGGAGATTAAGAGTAGCTCGCTCTAGGAAGTACCTAATCACCTTCCAGCGCATTTGACCACCTTCGCGGAACCATGACGTCAATCGTTCAGCTGAGTATACGGGATATGGCCGTTTTAGAACAGCCCACACGACATCTTCAAGAGCATAGCGCGGCAGTTTGAGCTGAAGCAGGCAGAGTCGTAGGAAACGAAACTTAATTCACCAGTCTCCGCTATAACGTGTAACAAGAAACACCTACCTCAGAGCGAGTCATTCGCCAAACATTTAAAACGAATCTGCCGTGAATCCATAGCCCAGCTGCCCTGTTCAAACCCCACGTTGTACCGATAGACGCTTCTTTTTGGCTGCCCTCTTCGTGGTCCGGAACTACGGTCACATTTCGAGGATCTATTGGTGCTGATGGAAGACGAGATAACGACTGGATGAGGTCGATCTAAAAACATAGACATCGCAGTGAGACATGCGCTTACTAAACAAACAAACGAAACGCTCACACTCATCTGGGATGCTCGATCGACAAGATATCCAATTGAAGACTTTTGCACTTCAAACCCTACCAAAAAGTCTGGATCCCATCGCCTTACCAATGCCTCTAAAGAATGCAGGAGATCACGCTCGTCCGATGCAAATGATACCGATACGTCGCCGCTATCAACGCACAAACCAACGCCTCTTGGCGTTGATTCATTCATGTCGTCCAGTCTTACCATGATAAAACCGCGCTCTTTTGCCTTGGAAATCGTCGGTCCCTCTTGAGCCTCTACGGCGTAGCAGATTGCGTCAATCGGGTCGTGGAGAGGATTCGGTAGCATATTGCCACGAGATGCCGCAAATGTTTCGATCGACAGTATCGTAACATTTGACAGAATCGTCGATGCGCTCGAAGTACTCGAGGGAGAGGCTGTAGCTATTAGTGATGATCGAGCACGCTTGCGTCGTGTCTGACCAGATACCAGAAATGTCAAGCAATAGTATTGAGGACATCACAGAAGCAAGTCATTGCCCACCTTTGCAGGAATGCCGCGGCTTTTGACATTGTTTGACACCCAATCCATAAGATTACTAGCTTCTGGAGGCAATCGTGCTGGCATCCGTAAACGACGTTCCTGGAAGAGAGGTACAAAATCCGTAAGACTGCTTTGTTACAGTAATCACCAGTAAACTAATACCTTTGCACCTCTTCCATGAAGGTTATCAGAGGGCTTTAACTGGGACATTTTATACCAAGTCATATTCCCCGTGCTGTCACTGTTGCCACCACTGCAGAGAGGATTCAGCAGCTGGCGCGAGGCAGCGGTATCAAACGTCAACAAATTGCTCGCATTGTGCGGTTTAAAATCAAATTTCTTCCCTCCGAATACCATCGCTTTGTCAGGGATATCGGCAGCAATACTGTAAAAAGCGGGTCGGTACTACAAACAGATCATCCAAACACAATTGTGAGCGGCGCACTTGAAAAACCCATGCATTGTATCGTTGCCAAACCTGCATAGGATTCACCCCAAGTTTCTGCGATGATGAAATAATTTCGGAAAAGGATGGAGGCTCGCGACTGAAAAGCCACAAGCGATTATTGCCTGTTGCTGCTTGTAATGGCGCCTGAACTCTCGGAGTTACTCGGAGTGGCTGCGGGTGGGGCGTTAGTGACAGTTGCGAACAATCAACCGGATCCGATTCTTCCGATGCTAATGGTATCGGCTCTTGCGGCCGAGGCGGGAGCAGATCTTCGATGTCACCGACAAAAGGCAAATCTTCTGGACTGACCCCAAATCGAATTGACCTAGCAGCATTCGTCGACGACTTCACAATGTTTCAGTTGGTAAGTGGCAATATCATACAAGAAGCTTCCATACCTTCTGCAAATGCGTCTGTGGAGTACGGAGGACGACGCCGCGAGGGCTCCCAAGGTCACTCAGTGGACTTACGATTGGTCGAGACTCACGTTCAGCAACATCCCACCAATCGTTGTTTTCTGGCAAAGTGGGCGCTTGACTTGCAATGTGCTTTTCAACCACACGTTGGGATGCCAAGATATCTCCAATCTCGTCATTTCGATTGCTCCATTTGCTAATGTTCTCTTCTTCACCATTGTCGTCGGGTGTGTTGTATCCGTCACTATCGTTTCTTCCGCGGTCTTTACTGTCTGCATGATCTGGGCCGCTTTCTTGCTGCATCGCTAGGAGAACATTTACAATAGCTTCGTCCTCTTCGGCTGACTGTCCGAACGAAAAATTTGAGCAAATGTCGATCACACCGATCAAGAAGACAAAGTACCTGGTTCGTCTCACGTTTGCCATTGGCTTCGATCTCAGCTTGACTGTAAGAGTATTCACTTTCCATGGCAATCGAATTTCCGCATGACACCACATCGTGAGCAGGCAGTGGCTGATCAAGAACAGAAGATCCGCTGTTGATCTGTTGTCCTTCCATCTGCTTTGTTAATGCCTGTAACACTGTGTCAACAGATTTCTTCATTTTGTCCTTGAAAAATGATTGTGACAGCAGTGATGATGCTGACTGTGCCGGTGAAACGCTCATTGACGAGCCTCTACACGTAGATACATCAACGTTGCGGGGGAGGCTTAATGACATCGTGGGCGTTCCCCTTTCACCTTGTTGCATCTTTCGTAATCTCTCCTCCTATCGCTTGCAAAAAAGTACTACGTTAGCTTCTCTCGCATATGGCCACAACCACTTTACAAACAATCGATAACATACTTCCCATATAGCTGCCAGCGACGGCACATTCCGTAGCTCGCCTGTGCCTTCTGCTTCTTTTTGTTGGGATTCAAACCTCTTTGGGTTCAAAATACATGCAGCCGCAACATCAGCTTCTAGTGCACAACTGGATTGCCGATCAAACCACCGCTTCGGCGCTTGAGAAACCGGCGCATACCGTCCCACGCAAGAAGATGCTGTTGTATCCAAGCCATTGATCCTATCAGCTGGGACGTTCGGGAGAAGAATAACGCGATAATCTCCCGACGTCTCCACTAGATGATCCTGCGTTACTGGAATAGGAAACCGAAACTTAAGGTAACAGCTTAGTAAAGTACACCTTGCAACAACATTGGAGCTATACCCAACAGCTTGACCCAAACTTACCTTGACATTGCTGAACGCCACGCAGTTCATCCCTTCAATGTTGTAATCAGCAAAAACCTGCATCAACATTCATTCATGCCACCCATCCGATGTCAATCAACAATTTCCTACTACATATAACTCTCTACATCTCAATTACCTGCATTAAAAATGGCACATGTGCTTCATAAGCTTGAAACCGTCTTTCACCGACCTTTCCACTCGCAAGCAGTTGGACAACTGTCATGACAACCCGTGGATTATATAAAAAGATCTGCACAAAGAGTTTTGGACGTGGATGATAGCCGTAAAACGGCGTTCCTTGGACAATCAGCATCTACTCAACACCCACAACAACAAATAAAAAATTAAATTGTATCATTTCTCTCTCCAAACCTCCTTTGTACTTGACACAACCCCCTCACCTTTGCTATAATTTTACTACAACAATGTATACCATTGACTTGCTGCTTCTTTTCTTGTCTTTGTTGCTGTTTAAACGCATGAGCAGCTTCAAGATCCTTAGCCAAACGAGGTAAAAGAGCTCGAAGACGTTTTAAAGTGTCAAAATCAGCATCATCTTGAGCTCGAAAGTAAAAATAAGGAAAAATCTAGCATCAAATCATACAAAACATGACTTTTAGACGTTAAAAGCAAAGATTTACGGCCAAAAACCACAAAAAACTGACCCCATGGATGTGCATAAGTGTCTTTTGACCAGCGGGTGTAGCACCAAAGATACGTACGACAGGAACCTCACGAGCACGTATATAACAAGGAGAAGTAGGAAGGTTCTTGATAGCATACGCAGGTAGCGGTTTACTCTGGTAAGAATCCACGACAACGACTTCGACGCGGAGCTCTTCAGCGTCATTTTCCTCCATTATTGTCATTTTTGTCGTCGTTATTGTACATATTCTTATTTAGCGTATAACTATATTCTTCATCAGAGGTATCATTTACCTCGTATATTTAATAATCATTTCATTGTATCGAACGGTTTAAAACCAAAAAAACCTCATGAATAGCATAACGACGTGTTCGAATTCGATTCTAGAGGTTCGTGTCGTCGCGCCGACGTCCCCCTGCTGCCAAATCGCTAACCGACGCGCCCCATCTCGTCCTCTTGTCCCATTTATATAGACTACATTCTATCGTATATACAAATGAATCGACAGACATTGGCTGAAGCTACGAGTTTACATGATGGTCCTGTGCCGGTGTACCTCATGGAGGAGATTGCAAGTACGTCTAGGAGCAACTTAAAGAATGGCTACACTGTCTTACGTTGCTTTTTATGTTGCTGGTATAGATGGTACAAAAAACAGTGACCGGGATGCCGAAAAAACAGCTGATTATATCCTTGGGCGACTGCACAAGAGCAACTTAAACGTGAAACTGAAGGCATTGCAGATAATTGCGGTTCGTGTTGCGAAAAATCGCGTTTTTGTTGACAAATTTGTCGTTTGGAGTTGAAAGTGGAGGGTTGTAATGTGATTGTGTGGCTAGTTTTGTATCAAAGAAGGCAGTCATGTGTTTACAGAGGTTATTCGAGATGAAGAAGAGGAGATATCGATCTATTTACGTGCGTTCCGAGCGAGAGAGAGAGAGAAAAAAACGAGAAGAATTGGATTTGACTCATGGGTGGGATGTTTGTCTTATTTTTTTAGAGTTTTCGGGAGCTTCGGATCCAGTATATGGAGATGAAAAATATCGTCGGATTCGAGTGGCATCACAGGTTGAGACATGGAGAAATGAACGTGAATGTTCTTGTGAGAGTAGAGATAATTTACTTGTCATGTTATTGTTTTTTATTGTTGTAGGAAGTGCTGGTGAATTTACATGATGTAAGATCCCTTTCACGTCGGAATGGAGAACAACAGCAAGAACAATATATACAGCAACAACCTCTTCAAAATGGCGTGATCAGTGTGCAGGGGCAAGTTTCACGAGGAGATAATGCACCATTCTATGGCAATGCAAATGAAGGGTATAATCAACCGGAACGGCAGCACTCGAGTGTTGGTGGATCGTGGGGGCAGCCACTTCCTTCTCATCAGCCAGCATTGTATCAAGATAGCCCTTCTAAAGGCTTTAATGGGCCGTCTGAAGTAAGGTCCTTTGTTCCCCCGAGTGGAGGTGCCAGCAGCTATGGCGATAGTAGTGGACAGAATGGTGGTAGCGTAGGAGGACATGGCTATGTTCAAAATGGTGCGCAGAATGGATACGGTCAGAACGCGCCACCACAACAACAACAACAACCACAACAGGCAAGTGGGTTTAACTCGTGGGTATCCTCGTCGGGCACTGGGGGTGTGGCCTCGAAGAGCTCTGGTGCCGGTACATGGAGTAGTTCAGGTTATCAAAAGAAGGACGCTGCGGCGGATAATGAGCCGCGCTACAACTTATCCACAGGACGAGACAACCGCCCTACTGTGTTGGTTGGCCACTCGCTTCATTTTCCCAAGCCGGCTGGGGGATTTGGTAGTAGCAATACAGGTGCGACGTCAGGACTTGGTGGTTTCAACAGCGGTACATACGATCCGAACGCTATTCGTGGTGCTATCGGTGCAAATGTGTACAATCCGAATGCGATGGGAAGCGATGCGCAGAGCGGCTTTAATAATCACCAGTCGGGTGGAACAGCTACGTATGCTGGTAACTCGAACCGTATGAGCGGCAATACTCACCGCATCGGAAGCATAGGTCTTCCAGTGAACGGACAGCCGCTCAGTGATGTCCCAACGACGGCTCTGGGCAAGAAGGCAGAAGTACTGAAAAAGATGGGTACAGCAGCGCTTGAAAAATGGGATCGCCGTAATATGGACAAATCGATGGCATCATCCTTGGCAGATCACGACGAATTGCGCGCCGGTCCGCAAGTTGTTGACCACAATTACTACCAGCCGAATGCCCAACAGGGAGCCGGTGGAGGTGACACTAGCAGGTATGCACTACTTGGCACAATCTGTTGTTATGGATTGGAATGTTCCCTCATCGCCGTTATTTTTTCACAGAGACTATGAGCGTACAATGATAGACAACTTGTGCGCTCCGGCGGGCCTTTCGCGTGCGCCGCCTGCAGATGGTCTTAAGCGGTTTGTCGACCTTGCACAGACGCTAGATGCTCAAACTATTGGGGACATCTTGCTTGACAAGCTAGAAGACGAAACGTGGCAAGTTCGTTTAAAGGGTTTACATGTGGTACTAGCCCTGTTTGATTCACCTGGTGTAGGACCATATCAGGAGTTTTTCGAGGAAAACGTAGAGGTCGTCGAAGAGGTTTGTTTTTGCTTTTCCAGGGTTATAGCATCCATTTTGCTAACTAAGCTTTTCGGGCACAGCTGCAACACGATGCCAAACCAAGTGTAGTATCAAAGGCGTTGCAGGTTTTGCATGCGCTCGGTTATGCAGATGAAATGGCTCCTCAGCCAAGCAGCAGACGTGTGGTTGCCAAACAATCTCAACGCAGTAGTTCCACAAAGAACCGCGTGCAGCAGCCGCAGCAGGAAGTAGATCTCCTTGGTTTTGGCTCACTCAGTCTTGAATCACCTGCGGGTTCTTTCGGCCATAGCGCTCAAGGTACATCGGATCTTTTTAGCTCTCCTATCACTGGACAGCCGCCAACGCTCCCAACACCTTTTCAGGAAGTTTCGGTACGTTCGGCATTTTGCTTTGTATTTAATAGCATTGAAAGCCTAATGCACGGAAACGTTTGTAGCTTTTGGATGGCTTGGACACACTAGGGAGTTCTTCGTCATATGACCCTTCCTACACTCAGCAGCGGCAAGCCGTTCCACCTCAGCAACAATATTACCAGCAGCCGGAGCAAGATGGGCGTAACAAATCGTTGAGCCATTTTGAAAAGGACCTTTTTGCAATTGCCAACTCTCCGCGGACAGCTGCAAGCACGGCACCACATCCTGGGACCAGTGATGGTCCGAACCTCAGTGGCAGTCAGTCAGCATTTAACTTCTTGTAGAGTATCTGTGCAATCAATCTGCTTTTATCTGCTGAGAACGAGCTTAATGAACTGAAATGCGTAGACCATAAGACAAAGCTCGACTAGAATAATACCTTGTGGCAGCATGAAGCACCTACCCGCTTAACATCATTCACAGCTTACGCTCGAGTACGCTTCTTCGAGGAACCATTGATAGCACCGGCCAACTTGCGCTTCATTTGCTTTCCGCGTGCGATAAAACGATTTGGGTCCCACAATTCTTGCCGAATATGGTTGTACGGTCCGTTAAGAATGATCATGACCTTAGTGTCGCGATGATAGGTAAGTCCCGTGATGAGCTTTGGTGTGATGAGGAAGTACTGTGGCAGCTTGCTACCGCATGATGACTTGGTGATTCGCTGGAACACCTTGCGTTCGTTATAGACATCCATGCCCTGGTTGATCTCATCTACTACCCGGAATGGGCACTTTGTGAGACTCTGGAGAGCCATCAAGTACATGATAGTTCCCACAGACTTTTCCTGTGAACAATGACGTGATAAGTAAAACGGAGCGATGGACAAGAAACTCAATAACGTACTCCTCCGGATTGCTCCTCGGCGGTCATAGTCGAAAGTTTCGTGTTCTTACGGAATTGTGCCCGACGTTGGATGCCCCATTTCGCTACATCCTAGACATTTTCAACCCAGGACAAACACCATCAGCATGGAATCATAGTAACCATTGCAATCGGCATCGGATTCAAGTACGTACCGGGTCCTCGTCATCAAGTAGTATTTCGCCAACGCAACCGATATCCTTAAAGAACTCTCCAAACGAGGAGTCGATGTGCTGCACCACTTCTTTAAGTTTTGCATGCCATTCACCCTGTTGTTCACATGACACGAGATTAGCAAACACTTGCAGCTCTCTCCAATCCACCATAATAAGCGCACCTTGATCCCGTTTATCTTTTCTTCACTGTGCGTAACAAAACTTTCCAAATTAGCCAGAACCACTTCGTCGTCTTGAATCTCATCGTGCACGCGTTCGTAAAGCTCGCGAATGCTCTTATCACCACGAAAGCATTCTAGAGCTGCTTTGTTGTTTTCAATTTTGCCTCGCAACTCATCCAGATCATCAGGAAGCTCGTTAAAGCGATCTTCATAAGCATCCCATGGAGCTTCTTTCTCTGCTTTATGCTTCAAACCCATCGCCTTTTTCGCGACGGTGACCAGATTTTCCTTTGCAAGCTTGTAAGCGTCTCGGAGGTCCCTTATATAAAGTCATTGTCAGCACATATCAGGCATCGCAAAGAATACACAGAAGCTTACCGGAGGGCGGCTTCCGTCTGCTTCAAGTATTTAGCTGTAAAATCCACTCGAACTTGTTGTGTACCGAGCTGCAGTGATAAGCACGCTTCACGAGTACATGCCTTGTGCAGATCTCTTAACAGCTGCAACCAACGTTTTATCTGTTGCGCTTGCCTGTAGTGGAGCATGAACAAACACCGAGTATCAGCGGAAGAGCCACTTGCCACGTTCCCCACAACTTGACTCAACTTACTTGGAAGCCTGGTTCTTAAGCTTTCGAGTCAAGACTTTCTCCTTCTTCGACAGATCCTAAACGAAGAATGTAAGCACCCAATGCATAGCTGTAACGACACAGTGTACTCACATGTGCCAATTCGCTCTTCAGCGAGTAAATTTTGTTGTCATTCTCAGCAATCTTATCATCCAAGCGAATAATTGCCTTCCGCTGGGAGCGAATTTCTGCGATGCAATGCTGAACTTTCCTTTTCTCTTCTGCATACGTCTTCTCTTGCTCTTTCAGGTCAATGATCTAGAATGTCATCCAAGTTAAACCATGTAAGATCAGGAACATAAGCAAGCTATGCCGTACCTCTTCTTGAATGATTCTATCCCTAGAGCTCAAATCGTCTAGCATTTTCTTCATTTCGGCTTTCTCGTTTTCATTTGATGTGGAGGTCGCCAATAGACGGGGGTTCAAGAGATCGTTAGTACGCGTAGAAACGTTTCGGTTACCATACTTGGAAACTACACGAAAAAGGTGAAAAGTTAACCACATTCACCGTCAAACTTCTTCTACAAGACTTCTACAAGTAGTGTAAGACACGAACCCGAAGTAACGTATTTCTTGTACGGAGTCACAAACGCTGCCTTCCGCTCTGCTGACGCAATTTCGGAGAAAATATTGCCACCCTTGTTGATGATGTCTTCCGTCTGTTGAGAGCCAACCATGACGGTGTGTAGACCACCATGAACACGAAGAGCTTCATGTACAATATCCGGAGCAGCTACCAGCTGTAATACAATAGCGACAACCCGTGCTGTCAGTTTATCAGCTGATCATTCTGTTCCATAATTTCATTATCACTATACCTCATCCAAAAAACATGTCATGCCATATCGTTTGCGGTAGTCGTTCATCTTGTCGTTTGAGTATGGTCGAACAACAGCGTGGCATCTTCCATCTTCAACGTTCAAAATCGAAGCCTTTATGCGAGCGCTTTTCAGCTCGCGGAGAATAGTATTATAGTCGTCGTAGCTTTCTGTCACCAGCGCACCTAGGAGCCACTTTGGAAGAGTGTCTTCGATGTACTTTGCGTGTATTGTTTCATTAAGCTTTATCTGTAGCACAAAAAGAAAACATCGATAATTTTGCTAAATTCATTGCACAAAAACAAATTCATCTCGTACCTCGAGTGCAATTGGCCCCCATACCTTCCGCTTGAGCCGATGCGGATTATTCTTGACCCAATCAGCTGCACGGATACAGTCTGGATCGGCCCTCTGAAGAGCCAGTTGCCGCTGGAAATCCTCGTTCTCAAGTTTTTCAAGCTTACTCTTCACCTTTCTCTGCTCGTTGTCCCTGTAAGACAGCTCGCGAGCAAGCGATTCTCGCTTACTACGGATTTCCATTTCCTACAGATATTGCGACAAGTTAAGTGGTAAAACGTATTGGGAAGGCGTACAATCTCAGCCTTGCATACCTCCAAATCTTTAGCGCGCTGCTGCTTCTCCAATCGCTCCTTTCGTACTTTAAGCTCTGCGTCATCACCCATTCCTTCGCGTTCCTTTCTACACTGCAACACAAAGATCACAAGCGATCTTACTTAAAACACGAACCACATTGCACAAATCAAGTGCAATAGTCCACACCTCAACCACGTCACGCTCTAATCGCTCGAGTTTCCGGCGAGCAGAAATGTGTTGAGTGCGCAGCTCCTTTACATCCATTGAGGTTTGATCTTGGGCACTTTCCATAGAATCGATCTGGCAAGGCAAAAGTTAAAGTCACCATTTGCAGCGGCTGGTCTCAATAATGTAAGAACATCCATCTCACTTACATGACTCTTCTCCTGTCGGACATTTTGAATCAGCTGACGCTTCTCGTCGTCTACATCTGCTTTCCTGTTTATTTGTGCAGCAGATACAAACATTTTAGCACTGACTCGGAAAGAAACAGCCTCGTAAATGGGCAACGGACGCACTCAGTTTTCACGTCCTCCAGCTTAATTGACTCTTTCTTCAGAAGATCTGCAAGAGGATCAATCTTTTCTTTGCGTTCATTCTGCAGACACATTTCGTTGACATTGGTCATGGTCATGAAAAGTGTCAACCAACAAAACGAAAAAGAACTTACCCCAATAGCGTCTTTACAGCGTCGTTTTTCCTCTTTTAGCTCCCGAACCTCGTTTTTTGCTTCCTCAAACTCAAGCCACAAGCACTTTTTCTCCATCACCAATGTCTGCAAGAACATCAACCGATCCATCATAAGAAAAGTCACCACCCAAAAGCATAAATGTACTCGTCGCGTCAGCAACACTATTGTACCTCTTCAATACGAGCTTCATAGTTTTCAATCCGCTCCACTTCTTTCTCTCGTTGAGCATTCTCACTCTTCTTCGTTTCCAATGCTGCACGTGCATGCTCTACTTCCTACAAAAAGCACAAAAACACACCACGAATCAGCATTGCAGTCCACTACATTATTTTTGCAGCATAACAGAACGTGCATACCCGTCCTTTATCTGTCAAATTGTGCTGCAATTCAATAATTTCTTCATGCTTCGTAAACAAATCACTGTCTGTAATAGCATTTTCCGTAGCTTTCAACAATTGCACGGGATTCATTCTCGAGAACTCGCCGACTTTATCCTGTGGCAAAAATTGACACAAATTGTCGATCTGAATTTTGGCCATTTCCATGATAGTCACCACGTTCTTTAGTGTTGACTCGTTGCCATTCACTTGCCAAGTGCTTCTATTGTCTCGAAATATATTACGTCGAATGACTGTATTCCCTTGGTCAAAAAAGAGCTCAATTTCCGTGTACCCATTTTCTTTTTCATGACGGACGAATTGGCCCACTTTATCTGCACGGCCTAGTAACTTATATATGTCCAAAATATCAACTCAAAAAAATAAATTACCAATAGTTTACGTTACTTAACAACTACATTACACAAGTAACGTACACGAGTACTGCCTGCTAGCCCAACGCAGAGTGCACATACAATGGAACTTTTACCCGTGCCATTAGGTCCAAGAATTAAATTCAAACGCGGTCCTGGATAAAATTCAGCGTCGGAATACGTAAGAAAATTATGCAATTTTATACGCACAATCGCCCCGTTTACAAACTCCTCCGAGCCCGTGTCACTCATGACTTTTGGTAAATAAAAAAACTCTGTTCCACAAAAACCAATGCACTTGATCCCCAGGACTACCCCCTACCCCCGATCCTAACTTAGGTATCTGATGTAACTACACACCAATTACAATAACTCTCGTCATGGCCAAGCAGCCAATAATCCAAGCTGCATGGCGTTCCATGCCTTTAACTCGCATTTGTGAGCGCCATGCGATACTAAAGACTGTACCTATGCGTAGTTGTAATTCGCTGTTTGTTTCTCCACCTCAGTATCCATTTACTGGCTTTGAAATCTTATTTTTAGGCACAGGAGCAGGATCACCATCCGTCCGACGTAATCCCACAGGCATTTGTATTCGTTTGGCACGTAGTAATTGGATGTTTGATTGTGCGGAAGGAAGTTTACGTCAATTGATTAAAAGTGTCGTCCGAGTACCTCTTACTACGAAATTCTTTGTCACACATTTACATGGCGATCACGTGTATGGACTGCCTGGTATTCTGTGTACATTGGACAATCATAATGCTGACTATAAAGACCCCGAGACGAGACTAAAGGTTCCACGACCTATTAATGTCTATGGACCACTGGGACTATTTTCGTACTTGAATACGGCATTCTGTACGAGCAGTACGAGGCTAACGAATCTCAAGATTATCGTGCATGAATTAGTAGGTTCAGAGATGCTGAAAAAGACGTCGGCACATGAGAAATTCATGCGGAATGCACCGAAACATCCAGTGAGTGAAGGGTATGGAGGTGTGAGAACGATGTGTATGTACTTAAAAGCTGAGTGGTGTCGTGAATCTAGAGTCTTCGACGCAAATGGATTCATGCCGAGTCGGATGGAAATGGAGATGTATGGAATGTCTTGGATGATGGCAAGTTTATTGTGAAAGCGGCTACGTTAAAGCACACTGTTACGAGCTTTGGGTAATCGAGCTGCTTTTATTTTCACTTTGTTATCGTGTAATTGGGGCTGACATGGCATTTTTGGGATATGAACTCAACAGATATGTCGTTGAGGAATACACTTTTCCTGGAAAATTAGACGTAGATGCCCTACGCGAACGAGGCTTACCGCCAGGACCAAATTATCGTAAACTCAAATTAGGGGAAAGCGTCGAATTACCGAATGGAGAAATTCTTCACGCATCCGAGGTTCGTGAACAGTGATATGCTTGACTGAAGCATTTACCCACTCTGGCTAATTTCTTGGACTGGAATCTTTTCCAGGTGATTGGACCCAAGGCTCGTGGACGTAAGGTAGCAATCCTTGGTGATACTGCTGATTCCTCCCGGATGTATGACATAGCACAGAACTGCGATGTACGTACGATACGCGTGCATTTCAGAATAGTGATGTACTTGTGCTATGTGGACCTGACTAATGAGCTGTGTTGTTTCATTCTGGCAGGTTTTGGTCCACGAAGCAACGCTAAGCCATAGAATGTTCAAACAGGTACGAAGTATTTGATGCAAAAGGTGTCAGCAATGATCTTTCACTTATTAAACGAATTGCTCGTTCGTGGCTTGAATGCTATTTGTAGGCGGTACATCGTGGACACTCGACGGCTCGCATGGCAGGGCACGCAGCAAAGAAAATAAACGCGACATTACTCGCTTTGACGCATTTTAGCCACCGGTTCCGGCACTGGTCGGCTGACTTCAACGCATTTACAACACTTCATCTGGCATTAGAAGCCCAGGAATCGTTTGGTCGACGAGCAGTTGTGCCTGCATCTGACTTCCTTCGCATTCCCATCCCGCGTCCACCTCACGAATAAAGAATTCACAGAATATACAAGAATGCTGTAGGCAGCCGGGTTTGTACAGAGTAATGCCTGAACAGAAGTTATTTCAGCATCCTCTGCGTTCAATTCTTGAACCAGTTTTGTGATAGAGTGCCAAAGTCAAAGCGACTTACACCCTACCACCTTTACACTTCGAAATACAGGTTGCGTAAGTAGCAATGTGTGTATATCTTGAATCTTAATTAGTGAAAGGTATGTGAATACCACTGAAAAAGCTCTGCTTTGGACTTGTGTAGCCCTGCTTGGCAACCTCAATCACCTTTACCACGTTCGTTGACGACGATACATCATCGTCCAGTCCATGAACGAGAATTGCTATTTCTCCGCTCTTTATCAAACCCGCATCCTTTGCGTATTCGATGGCTTTTCGGGTAAGATCTTCTACACCTGTCATGGATCCTACCAACAGTGCCGTTACTCCTCTGTAACCAAATAGTAGAAAGTAGCGTCAGTAAATGTTTACCTTCGGTCTAGAAGAGACATCAAACGTACCGTGATACCCCAGAGAGCTGACGCGACGTTAAAGTAGAGGATGTTACAGCTAATATGTTGGCTTTTGGACGATACTTGGCGAGCAGCTTCGTACTTGAGCCTGTGTCAGTGATCGAAATGATCAGCTTGATGTCCATGTCCAAAGAAATCTCAACAGCCGAACTGGCGACATTTTCGCAAAGGCTTACGTGCTTACTGCTGGCACGGTGCAGGCGGTATACTTCCGCATAGTCGAGCGCTTGCTCTGCCTCGATACAAATTCTGGCCATGGTTTCCACTGCCTCCCTCGGGTACATGCCTTTGGCTGTTTCTGCTGATAACATCATGGCATCCGTGCCATCTAGCACTGCGTTTGCCACATCAGTGCACTCTGCGTTGGATGGCATCATTTTTTTTGTCATGGATTGTAACATTTGTGTGGAAGTGACCACAGGCTTAGCAGCGCGATTGGCCTTGCCAATAATCATCTTCTGCGCCAAGAATACTCGTTCAGGTGACAGCTCCATACCAAGGTCGCCACGGCTTACGTGGATACCATCAGCCTCAGCAACAATCTCGTCAATATTTTGCAGAGCCTCCTGGCTTTCAATCTTTGCATGAACGCGAATGTGTCGACCTGCTTCGCCAAGACACTTCCGTATCGCTCGCACATTGGCAGCTGAGCGCACAAAAGACCCTGACACAATGTCTACTCCATTTGGAATCGCAAAATTTAGCAGATCATCCTTGTCTTTTTCGGTAATACCGGGTATCTGAATAGCCGCTCCTACCATTCAAGAGATACTTCAAATTTAGATCAAGAGCACGAAGCAATTATTGCTGCAATACAAGCAACATACCTGGCAGATTGATGTTCTTCTTCTCTTCCAGCACATGATCATTATGCACTCGCACAATGATTGACTCTGGTAAGCATTCTATCACTGTCATAATTAAACTCCCGTCGTCACACAAAATCTTGGAACCAATTGACACCGAGGTTGGCAACTGCTCATACGTGCATGCAACACGAGAGCTGTCACCTTCTAGTCCATAATCCGTAGTAATTTCTAGTGTCTGTCCAGCCTAATGCCCCACAAACAAAAAGCAGCAATCTCAATTAGCGACAACATATCCAACTCCATTCATCTTCATACCTACCAAAAACTGCACACCTTCAATTGTACCGGTCGATGTCCTTTTAAAAAGCCACTCCGGATTTCCGGTCCTTTCGTATCCAACAACACAGCACAATGACATCTCGGTCGTGTGGCCATTGCTTTTCTCAAATTTATTAGACTTTTCATGTGTAATTCATGGTCTCCATGGGAAAAATTTAGCCTTGCCACATTCATCCCTGCATCCAATAATTGACCTAGTAGCACCAGTAGAATGTCAGTCTTCATTCAATATATCACTAATAAAGCATAAACCACTGCAATTGTCGCACCCAGCATCTCAACAGACCACGATGCTGGTCCAATAGCACAAATAATCTTTGTCTTGCGTGCTCGAGTAGTAGTCGGTGTCAAAATCTGCTTGATATCAATCCCGACGTGGAAATACTACAAAACAAATATGAATCATACTTAAGTAACACAAAAGTAACTGTAGTACCAAAGACAATCCATCTTACCGCAGGTTTTCGTGCAGTAGACGACGAGTCAGGCTTAAAGACATGAGTATTATCCGAGTGAAAGCGATGCCAACTGCCGAAACGCACGGGTGGGAAGCCACTCACACGGACTTGATCGTAAGCAAATGATGGAGTGTGCAAGATGTCGTCGTCCTTGGACCAACGACGTGGTCGTTCTGGATGCATCAACGTCCCTGTTCGAGGATTTATTCTACCTGTCGTGTAGCGTTCCGTCATACTTCGCTCTTCACTTTTAATAGTAGTAATATTATCGACGGCTTTAGTGATAATAGCTATAAAAATAGTATTATTTTTTCGACCCTAAATAATATCATTTGCTTCTTCAACCCTACGTAATTATAGACCCGCGGGTCCAGCCTGAATGCAAACACCCAAAATAATCACCGTAAATAGGTTAAATTGGGTACCGCAACAAAGTTTTGCCATGTTGGACATGGATCAGAGCGTCAAGGACGCGTTTGTGCACAACGAGGACAATGCTTCTATTATTCTAGACGATAAGGTATCGCGAAATACACCGTGGACGCCCAAGAGCTTAGGACGAGCAAAGACGGCCATTATTTACAAAGTGGGTTACTGTCAATCGCACAGCTATACTGATATACCTGTGTAGATTTGTCTAAAAGTCTCACGTAATTTGTGCATGTGTCTCTTTAATTCTTGGTAGCAAACATTAAACGACACGTTATTAGTACTGGAACGTAATATCTTGTTTCTTAGTGGATGGGTGCCGTATTTTGTGTCTTTGCAAGAAGATAGTATCCTTTTGTTTGCCACTCGTGAACGATGGGAACAGGGACTGAAGCCTGATAAGGTATTAGTGGTGGTATAATGAAGCTTTTTACGGCCTTTTAACGTTCATTTTACACTTCTTTTCATACTCTCACAGGTAATTGAGCTGCACCACATGTTGCTGCTTGGAGACATGCAAGTTGATGTGGTCGAAAACTGCTCCTCGCTGCAGAACAAGGATGGTAACGTACGACTTTTTCGTCGTAAGATTGTAGAAATAGATGAGATAGACGAGGTAAGGCTTGCTTGGTAGGTTTGTCTCGGGCTAAAGAATGGCTGTACAATTCTGAGTGGCTGTTACCGTGTAGGATCAGAATGAGGAGTTTCGACAGAGTTTGGCTGTGTCATCAAGGAGCAGAATGGACAAAATTATTGTAAATAAGCCAAATGCGAGTACACGCTGCGTCCTGGAATTCAGCTCATACAATATGAACACGTTCGAGTTGTGGACAAAAGCAATTCGCCACATCTTGGTCAATAGACGAGAAGTACATGTCAGAAGTTCACGCAATAACCAGAGCAAGGAAGACACAGATATGACACCTAGCGACAGATCAAACAAGAGCTGGGTATCTCCGGGGCAAGATTCCAAGGTGACTTTGCTTCAAAGTGAAATATGGTGCAACCGTGTGCTTTCCGGCGAGAAGCTGAAAGCTGAATCCGAAATTCGGCGGATCGTTGCGATGGAAAAGCTAGTGGCTCAAGTCACTCACCCACAAATGGCGCTATTGGTCTATGAGAAGGTAAGCCGTGTGCACGAATTGTTTTCGGCCAACAGTAGGCGAGAAATTGAGGGTCTTGGCGGAAGGGAAGCCCCCATTTCAGCAGAGGTTCTGAACTTCTTTGCGGACCATCTCAAGAGAAAGTATTCCGTTTTCTTGATCCTTGCATTAGCCTATGGGGTCAAAGAGGAAGAAATTCGAGAAGCACACGAGCGAATGTGTCAAGATAGCGCTGCTGTGAATGCAGGAGTTGGTGGTGGTAGCGGCGAGCAGGAACGAACCGCTGCTTCTTACGGTTTCGAAGACCCGGAGAGCCTTCAGTTGTATGAAAAATATCGCGATTCGGCGTTACATTACCACAAAATGAACTACGGTGACACAAGTGCTGCAGAGGAAGAAGATGCGATTATGCACCTTCCCGTTATGCTGCAAGTTGCCATCGTTAGACAAGACCTTGAAGAATCAGGGGCAATGCTCTCCATTTTAAACACCGTCAAGGATCGGCTAGTGGAGCATTGTGCCCAGCAGAATGATTCCTAGTACATTCGTCTGCTTGGATTGACTTTGAAGTCATCTGTACCATTGACATGCTGCTGACACAAACTCACGACAATGATGTAAATATAAATGAGCTCCTACTTCTTGGCGTGTTTGAGCGATCACACTTGTGCCTCGAAGGACACTGCGTCAGCCGCAAGAGCTGCATCAATATGGTCGTGAATCTCGTGCACCAAGTGCCGAAAATTCGAGTCGGTTAAGTACTGCCTCACGAGTACAGCCATGTCACTGTCCACTTGAACTTCCGACTGGACTGAGGGTATCCCTGAATCTTCAACAAGTGGGTCGATTTCTAGTAGCAATGCAAAAGTTAGACTGGAATTGGCATGGCTATGTTCTACTATTGGTAGACAATACCCCACGTATCCATCATGGCTTCAGCAGCTCGTAGTGTCTCCTCCTGGTCTCGTAATCGAACTCTGTAGCTCATAAGTTAAACCAGATTAGCTACAGCTTTAGTTTACAATAGTATTGCCATCTATATTTGTGGCGTCTATTACGTTAGAGCATTGTTGTTGTCCACAGTAACTCGCAATAGTCTTCCTCTCACTCGTACACTCTTAATGCGAGTATGCGAGATACTTAACACAGTAGTAGAGCTTGACGATGAAGAAGCCACGCCCAGTTTTAAGTACCGATCCGTCACAATCATCACGAATCGTCGACATAGTGCCTCGAGCCCTCCACGCGTCCCGGGGGCTCCTCGATGCCGCACAACTTGCACTTCGTACATGGTAATGAATGCAGCAGTATACACTTTCAATAATAGGCATCGGAGTTGCACTTCAACTACCGTGACCATCACTCTGATTTAAAGTGGTTGATAAATAAAGGGACTTATCTTGCAAATGGACGTTTAAGCGTGCGCTTGAACAAGGGCGTAAGTAAACAAGCAATCAAAAATAATTTACCTTTAGTAATGATCTACGGTGCATCTGCTTAGTACAACAATTTGGCGCAGCTTTGTGTAAAAGGGTTCAAGCTTCGCCTGCCAAAGTATGCAATTGGACGCTACGACGGCCTGTAAAAGCAGCGTCAAGCATCTCATCTTCGTCCACGAGGAACGAGTTGGTCGTGTCACTCACGTAACTAAACTTGCCGAATGAGTCATGATCCATTTCCGATCTAGCTCGACGGCTGCGATTGCGAGGGGTTTTCCATGGAAAAATGATGCTGAAGATATTGCCCGTGGACGCCGTCTTCGAGGCAAGGTACTTGTCAAAGTTTATGTCGGGGCTCTTCATTCGTTCCTCCGCCTTTGACATGGGTGCTGGAACCCAAGGCGGAGTGATCTTCTTACGTAGGACCATGCTCCATCGAACATCCTTGAAGAACGGATGCGTCAGAATGTCGCTGGTCTGATGTGCACCGAGACGCTTGTTCGGGTCCTTCTCCAGCAAGCCCAGAATGAGGCTACGAGCCTCCGGATTAATGCCACACTTGGACGGAAATTTCACAGGCTCCTTCTCGATAAGCTTGTACAGCACTGACACGTTTAGGTGATGGAACGGTCGCTTTGCAAGCAACATCTCGTACAGCAAGATTCCCAGGCACCACCAATCAACAGCCTTGCCATAGTCACGCGAACGCTTCGGCTTCAGCAGCTCAGGGGCCGTATATGCCGGTGAGCCCGCCATTGTACGAGCACCCGACATTTGGTTTACATTCGTTTTTGAAAGGCCAAAGTCAACCAGCGCAACATTGCCATCAGCGTCAAGCATTATGTTGTCAGGCTTGAGGTCACGGTACACAATGTCGCACGCGTGTAAGTGCGACAGGGCTAGCACAATCTGAGCGGCGTAAAATTTGACACGGTCCAGGTCAAGCAGAATCTTCACACGGTGCTCTTTGTTATTCGAGAAGCGGTTCATGTGCGTATATAAGCTGCCACCAGGGTAGTAGTCCATGCCCAAGAAAACTCGAGACTGGCTTTGAAATGAAAAGCGTAGTGGCGCAATGAACGGGTGATGCACGTCACGCAGTATTCGCATCTCCGTCTTCGTACGCACCTTATCGTAATTCGACATTGAACTCTTTTCCAAAATTTTCACTGCAAAAATCTCGCCCGTGTTTTTGCGCTCAGCTAGTACCACCGTGCCAAATGTTCCCTTGCCCAAAACACGATTCACGTGAAAATGCTGGATTGACAAGGACAAAACACGCTTCGATGTTGAGGCCTGGAACGCACGTTCCGCCTTAGCAGCTTTCCGTTCCGCGTCCGTCATTTGAAAAGCAGCAATGTCGACTTCAATCTGCATCTGAAGACCCAGTACACGGCCACCAGGGCTCAGCTGGATCTCGTCACGCGTGGTAAACGTGAACTCGCGCTTAAGCGACTTGTTCCAAATCGTACCAGCAGCCAGCACTTGTAGCACATTTGGCTGCTTCGTGGTCATGTATCGGGACACGGCAAATCTCTTGAACAGCACGAAACGCGAAAAGCCCAGCACAACGCCGACAAGACCTTCTCGTCCGTAGAACTTTGTTGAGGGCAAGAACTCACACGGGTAACTGACCGATACGATCATGTCGGGTGAGCAGATCGGGAAGAGCGAAATGAGGTTTGCCGCCGAATCGTCGACGCCCGTCTGTTCCAAGAACTGAGTCGTCCACATGGAGTAGAACTGCTTAATAGTCGCCAAGTTGCGAGCTTTCCAGTCCCCTGACGATCGTACAGTCTGAGACAACGAGTTCCCCGCTGAAAAGGGGAGTGTGGTACTAGCCCCAGGGTTCCACTGAGACACACGTCCACTTTGAGGATCAGAGTCACGTCCATTAGACGCGCCACTAAAGCTCTGTCCGGGCTTCTGTCCGCTAGCGTTTTGCACAGTCTGTTGCAACATTTTGACCCAAATCTCGCACTCAATGCTAGAGCGCGTGTACATGGCAAAGATTTTGTTAATCGTAGTGGTAATGAGCACACCATTGGAGCGATTGGGATCACGTGAGGCCCCCGTGACCGTTACACGGCCACGAAACTTTTCCGTGTCTGTCTTGGCCATGTCCTTGCTCACATAATAACTAAAGGTCGTCCCCGAGAGCACAGCGTAGCGGTATCGCCACGAGCGTACAACATGTCCCTGTTTCCAGATGTAACCTTCCCAGTCGGTCTCAAAGATGTCCTCAAAGGCACAGGTGAGGTCTGGTGACACACTAAGACGTGTGCGGTTCGGGGCCCCACTGCCGGTGCCGCTACGTTCTGTGACAGACGAACAACTAACTGATCCATCAAAAAAGTCTTCACCTTCGTGGCCATAGACGGTAGTACTCGGGCGGAGACTGTACGACTGCGCGCGGTTGTCGTAGCGATTGGGACCGCGACTGGAGCCCAACATCACACTGGAACGTTCTCGTAGCGCCATAGCGTTGGCGTCTGCAGCCGAGAAAAGAGTGATCCGCTGGCGATGCATACGCGTACGCTACGACTGTAGTATTCTATTAAAAAGTCTCGATTTTTAACAAACGTTTCAACAACTGGCGTTTTGTATAGAGCTGGCCGCTCGTTACTCGCAACGCTCGATTCGCAGAATGAACTGAAGGAAGTTTTACTCTCTACCTCCCAGACACGAATTGGGAAAAAAATCGTGGCGGCGTGGAGTGTCGCGTAAAGACACAATCTTTCCAGTATGTTTATCATAAATTTACTAAGAGATAAAATGGAAACCGCTAACTGAACCCTACCGGCTGTTTATGAGCCTATTTTTACCGATCTTTGGAAAGAAATAGCCTCATTAGCAATAACACGGACTGCCAAGTTTCCAAGGTCAGTGAACAATGCGAACGAGCCATTTGTTCACTGACCACCAAGGAACAACGTTATGGTCGACAACTAAATCATAGAAATAGCCTGCGACTGCCGTGAACGCCCCAGCTAAAAGCTAAGAAACGGACCCGGAAAAGCCCTTTTACGAGCAGAACGGCCTATGGACGCAGTACTGTTGTATAGACACTTTCGTCACGGCCCGAGAAGAGACAGTGCGATCGAGCGTTTTTTCACAATGCGCGTCCAACACAACGCCAGACACCAACCACCACAACCACTTGACGTTCGTTTGTAGTTATTTGGTTGGAACAAGCCGTCATAACAGCTTCATGTGTGCCTCCATCTGGCAAAGACCATCCGCCCCGGGTCCCATATGCTTTAAATCAGATCGAGCCCATGTATTTGAGAACGTGAGACCTTGTTAGTATTCCCTATGCTCAGTATTTCTACCCGGCACGCCATATATCAATCAGCGCTCGCCGGCCAGAAAAGTCATCTTGTCGCATCGCATTTCGCGATCAGATGGCATGCATTGGCAAGCCTTTGCTGCGCATCTAGCCAAGACACAGACACCAATCGTACCGTTTTCCACTGGTAGTAAACATTAACAAGGTGTATGGATCTTTCACGACGGTCGCAAGGTTCCCTGGCCATTCTCGTGGCCGTTGCTAGCCAGATCCCGCGGACACACCAGCGTGCTACTTTTTCTGAAAAGAATCCATTATTCATGTCGTCAGCAGAGTGACTCTCAGTTGTCCAGTCTAAAGCGAGCATACAATTGCAACCGTCAACTGTTCCAAAGATCGCTGGGATTTGAATCGAAGACGTTGGCTTTATGCACTCGCAGTCATCTTCGTACCGCGTCTATCGCCGTTCCATTGGCAAGACTCGATGATGATCAGACTGTCTACTAAAACTTTATGATTACTCAAGATGTGTATGTGAGGAAATCCCCTGATCTTCTGTCATGACTATGTAGTTCTCCTATGCACTAGCTCTTTCTGCTAACTCAACCTAACGGGCTTCACGCGGCATACTGCAAAAGAGCAAGTGGGACAAACCCGAGCACATGCAGGGGGCAGGTGGCGGCTTAAGTGTGAGGCCTGATACCAAACCGGCTGTCTTAAACGGGCCAGCCAGACTGATCCCTGACATGCAAACAGAGTCACGTTTTAGGGAGTTCGCTTCGTGGGACCGGTATTCGCGCTCGGCGAACGGGCCGGTGACTAGGGAGAAGGGCAGAGGAACTTGTTAATATCTGGGTAGAGGGTGTTCGCTACTTTGTCGATGTGCCCCATACCTTGGGACTTCGTGTCTATTGCTCCCCGTCAAGTTCGCACGCAGCGAAGAGAAGGCCTTTTTCCTTCCACGTTGGTCCCATGGTTGAAGGGGAAAGGCCTTCTCTTCGCTGAAGGACTTCCGCCCATGGTAAGAGGATTGACCGGTATGCTGGCTCTTTGGAGGCCTTTGTCGCTTGGTCGTTGTTGCTCCTAAGCCCAAATGAGGAAGTGGGCAAGACTTATATAAAACTGGACACACTAGTCAGTTCCGAAAGCTTAAACCGCTATTGCGCTGTACAACTTCACTTGTACAGCACAATGGCGGTCAAAGCTTACGATCCTGCACGTCCAAGCTAAAAGCACTGCACATTAGTTTTGGGGAAGAGGTCCAAGTGACGCAGAATTCTGTTCAGTTTTCTCGTCTAGATTTATCCAGTTTTTGACTCCATCCTCTGCTTTACAAAATTTAATCTCAAGCCGCTGGTTAATTGTAATGAAGTGCGACGCAGTGGGTGATCTTTTAGTACTAACTTTAGTAGGACAGGCTTGATAAAACAAGACACCCCGGCGAGTTCAAACATTCGATGGCAGTGTCGGATGATCGACAGGACACGTGCTTATTGCACTTATCCATATTCTTGTAGGCTCTTCTTCATCTTACCGTCGCAAGCGCCGCTGTCATATTCGGTTGTTTATAGAGTGGCAGTGAGGCTACTGAATTTCTTCCATAATTTTGTCACTGACTTTCACTATAGCATCCATGTCAAGAGAAGAGACACTTGTCTTTAAACAACTTGCCCTTTTCTGCCTAATCAGGCTTCGACTTTCTGAACCTATCGAGCTTAGAACTCTGAGGACCCCGTTGCTCTATAAATGTAGAGAGTCTATTATCCACGACAGGTAAAAAATACTTTCTAGCTGCAGTTTGGGATCATGCCACGCAATCTAATTCTGAAGGTTACTATTTTATGGTGGATAAACTTTGACAGGTTCTACTAAACCATCAAAAAGCTAAAAAGACTCGTCTGCTTTCTCTCCATCCATTCGGGGCCATCGTCCTTCCACATTCCACCAAAGCTTTACGATCAACTTTTTCTGTATGTGACGAACTCCGTGGTTCGACAAGAATTTGCTGCGAAAAAGCAAAGAAATCGGTCGATTTCCATATTCAACTCCGCCAAAAAGTCGCCCTTGTCCAACACAAGAATGGTCTTGAACTCCGGTTTCTTGCAGCTGTTAAGCGGCACCATCTTTGACGACCACGCGTAACTCCTTGCGATTCTCACCTCGCGGCCAATGAGATCGACAGACTGATGCGAAACGCAGCGCAAAAGATTTAGCAATCTCCAGGTTGTTTGTTTGTTGCCAAAAGGTGCGTACTATCATCAGGATGCTGGAGCGGAAACTGCAAATGCAGCACCAAACGGTAACGCATGCGGTCTTGCCAACACGATAAGCAACGTCCATAGCACGTTAATGGATGCACTGTCTGCTGCCATCTACGTTCATAGCCTTCGGTGCGAGTCCACGGGTGAATTTGGTGCACGCGAAACTGGCTTAGGCCTCCGTCTTGCCATTGCTGCTGAGGGTTTTTCACGTTGCATTGGCTGCATGGAGCTATGACAGCCTTGCGTTGCACGGATGAATGTCAAGTTTGACTAGTGTCAAATTTAATACTAGTTGCTCAGTAGCTACCTCAACAAGTTTGGATTTGACTGAGGTGCACCAGACCATAACGAATGCATGGCAATCACTTGATGCACGCTTCAGCTATTGCTGGAAGTGTACGACTTGTGGTGGGCACGAAGTGCAATACGTTCCATGCAAAACCAATTTACGATGAGTTCATTTGATGGACAGGAGATACAAACTACGTACATCATGTCAAGATGCTAGTAGAGACGATAGTGCTCATGGCGACGGAGTCGCCGACATGCAAATGAGTCGATTAAATGCCTACTACTAATTTGCACAACTCCCGAGTGAACCATGGTCTCCTGGAGCCTCTTGGATACACTATATGCCGGAGCAATACAGCAAGATCTTCACGAATTTCATATAATCGCGTGTAAGAGTTGAAGGTGCAGCTCCTGCTGTGTCTCCTCATTCTCTGGCTAACTTTTATCGTTACGTCCTTCATCTGCGTAGAGAGGGAGCTGAAGCCATCATCCTGGTTTGTAGTGAAACTGCACGGCAACACTATTGCCGTCTACCTCGACAGTTGCTCGTAAGAATAAGCCTCGAACATCTTGATTCTAATCCAGTATATTGCGCTACATCAAAGATGAAAGCTGTTGCAAAAAGTCTGTGGCTTTCTCGGACGCTGCAGAATCGACTGTAGCGTTGGCTAATGCAGTATTTTCGGTTGACGTCGCTACCTCCTCTTGTTGTTTGCGTAGACGCTCCAATCGCAGTTGTTTCCTTGTCTTTCTGCCTGCCGTACCTGCTAACGAAGAGTCCGCCAATGACTGCACTAGAGTCGCTCGCTCATGCACCTCTTTTAAATGAGTTTTCTCTGTGCTTTTCAGACGCTTCTCCCATTGCGAAACGACAAAGCTGCCACCATCCACTTTCACCTCTTCACCTCGATTCCCCCTTTCATCAGAACCCTTCTCGTCACCATTTTTCTCCCTATATAACCCCTGTTGATCCGCAAGAAATGTAGCGTACTCTTCACTGTCCATTGGGACACTTCTCGTACGTCCGAACTCGTCCAGAATCTCCATCATCGTCACCACTCCACTACTCCCCATCTCCCTCTTAGCTTCAAAGTCCACCAGAAACTCTCCACTAACATGATTTCTGCCTATTCCGCTGGACAACTCGTCGTAAAGTTTGGCTTTCTTGCGCAGCATCTCTGCCGAGATTTTGTTCCACGCTGCGTCATCGTCTTCGTCTGGAGCTTCTCTGGCCTTCGCCTCTTCGTCACGTCGACTACGGACCTCCACTCCTCGATTGTAATGTTTCTTGCCCACTCGGTCCTCCTCTGACCGCTTGTGGCGCTTACTACCACTTCGTAAATGCGCATATTTGCCCATACGAAATGCCTTGGGACCATTGGAAACATCGTCGTTGTTCTCCGATATTAAAGCATCTTGTAAACGGCGTTTTCTCTCCTGATCCTTTTGGAAGACAACTGCTTTAAGGTCAACGAGAGATTTGGCATCGACCTTGATCTCCTTTGCCTTGGACGGCACGAGCGCCGACTCCGTCAAAAAACCCAGCGACATGGACAGAATTTTGTGTTTTTTACGAGGAATGGGCTTAAAAAGTTAAAAAAGTGTCATTGTATAGTCAAAGTAAATATAAAACCCATCACAGTAGCTACTTTTGGGTCGCTGAAAGAAGACGAGCTCAGTTACGCTACTTGCATTACCGTCAAGTCTTGTTTCGATACTGACATGCACACGTGCGTACACTGAGCTTTCACCTCCTAGACTGAACCATTGCTAACGCATGGCATTTCACTATTTGAGTCAGAATCTATTGCATCAGCACTAGAACTTGCAGCGTCAAACAAGATTCTCGGATTCTCTCCGTCATGTCCTCGGAGCGCAAGAAGTGGCAAACGTTCAAATGGCCTGGATCGTATCCGGCACTATCAGTGTTCTGCAGTAATAGATAGCGCAGTAGCAAGCCTTGTAGCTCATCACACACCCAGTATCACCTCCTTTGTCTTTTAGTCTTCCCCTGCATTGAAGCAGGAGCTCGTCATGCAAATGTCATTTGTGCATGCACAGGACAGACTAGCAGTTATCAGCCTCTCAATGAAGACAAGAAGAAGCCCAGCCATTGCACATTCCATCTTTTCCACCAAGTATTGTACCTCCAACCACCTGCATATGTGATATCAAACATCAAAATGAGTTCTGATTGCATACAATATCGACACTCCGTGTCTGTACAGCCGTGGGGATGACGGAGACCACAACTTCAATGCGTTAATCAAGAAAAACGGCCCATCCCCCTTTTATTAAGCCATATGCATGTAAATGTCTTTTGAAAACTTCAAACAAATTTTAAGTGACGTCGTAGCATCATCTTTTCAACTCTTTCAATTCTCAGAATCCAAGCTCTACATCTGAGAAGAGACATTCCATCAACCTTCACTTTTCAATTGCAAGCCGTTTGCCATTTGCTACATTCAACTCTTTTGCTTACATACACTCGGCTATGTCGCCTATCAGCGCTTCAACACCCATGCAAGCACCACAATTGGTACTGAAAGTGTCACCTACTCCAAGTGAGCATACGATACCGCTGGTATTACAACCACAGACAACGTGGAAGAATTCGGAGCGTATTGCGCAGTTCGTAGCGAATATGACGAGTGCCGTCTTGGTAATCGCAATTGCTAGCTATTATCTGGTACCAATGACTACACTTGCCATAATTGAGACACCACGTCTTGCTGCACAGATACACTCTCATGCAGCATGGACAGCAGGAAATGTCTTGGTCGTGCTTATGGATGGGTGGAAGGCAATGCATCATCTAACAATGAAACCATCGCGTTCGTCTGTCTCGGTTTTGCAGGAAATGTACCATAGTCCACAGGTCACTACAGCACTCACACTAACGATTGCGTATCTGGTGCTTCTTCGCAAGTACAAGGCCATCGGCTGGCTCTTGTATTTGCAAGTCGGTGTGACGCTACAGTGGGGAATTGCACTCTACCAATTGGCACGCATTATTTTGTCCATGTCGTGCTATTTTACCGTGAAGTTTACAAAAATGATGCTTGTGCTTTTTCGATGTGGCTATGCAAACTTCTTTGACGTACGCAACCGACAGGCTACAGCACTGCGACAGCTTATGACAACTGCACCGACATACGCAGTGTGGATGGAGATGGCCGAGTATTTGGATTCTTTGGAGGGCAAAGACCATTGGAAAACCTCCATATCTGACGACGATTTGGAGTATTGCGACTTCGTCCAGGTGCAAAAGAATTTGTCGGCTCTTAAACGTGTTATGGGTGAAGCAAGGCCTAATATTAGAGAACTTGGATACATGATGGCTGCTTGCGTGATGCGCAATGAGCTGGGAGTGGATTCGCCAAGTTTGCACCTTGATTGCAAGTCTGGCACCAAAAGTGTGATCAAAGAGTACAACGATGCTGTTGTACGTGCTTTGGAGATAATAGGCAACTCGAGCGAAGAGGAGTTTCCGCGTGAGGAGAAAATTCAGTTCTTCAAGCACATCAAGCAATCATTCGGCTCGACGGCGCTGTGTCTTAGTGGTGGTGGCTCCATCGCCATGTATCACAAGGGCATTATTAAGGCGCTACTTGAAGCTGACCTTATGCCGAATATCGTGTCTGGTTCCTCAGGCGGTGCAATCACAGCGGCTATGGTTGCCTGTAAAACGAACAAAGAGCTGCTTGACGACATTATCCAAGATGACGTCTCCACCCGATTCATTCCTCTCGGAATCCGCTGGTTCCCACCCCTGCTCGATCAGATCACACACTGCATCAAGACGGGATTTTTGCTCGAGTGCTCGAGGTTTGAACGCACGACTCAGCACTACTACGGTGAGCCGCTAAATGAAATGCAGAAGGCAATGCACTACACATTCCAGGACGCCTACCTCAAAACGGGTCGTCACGTGTGCATCACTGTCTCAGCTTCAGATGTCAATCGTGCTCACAAAGGTCCCAAGAAGCTGATATTGGACCATGTCAACTCGCCTCACGTTTTGCTTTGGAGTGCAGTAGCCTGCTCATGCTCTCTACCCGGCATCATGAAGGGCAAGCAGCTCATGGCGCGTGACTTTGACGGCAATGTCGTTCCGTACAACTCGCTGGGCAAAGAATGGTGTGACGGCAGTCTTCAGCATGACTTGCCCATGGAGACAATGGCCAGCTGCTTTAACGTGACAAACTTCATTGTGTCACAGGTGAACCCGCACGTTGTGCCTTTCGTGGGGGACGAGATCAACCAGCCTGGCTACCGCAAGAGCATTTTCCACATGTTAGAAAGTGTTATTGCTGCTGATGTGCGCCATCGCCTCAAGATGCTGGCGTTCCTGGGTCTTTTTCCTAAGATCTATGGTCACCAGTTCAGTGCATATTTCCGACAGAATTTCTCTGGCAATGTGACTCTCATTCCCGAGTTTTCGTTCCAAGAGGCGATCGGCGTCAAGGCTATCCAGAACCCCACAAAGCAAGAAATGCACAACTACATCAAAGGCGGACAGCGCACTACGTGGTCGAAACTGGCCTATATTCGCCACCTGTGCAGTATCGAGAAGTGTCTTGATCGCCAGCTCCATCGTTTGCTGGGAGCTTCTATTGCTCCGTACAGCAACTGGCTGCACCCGGACTCCATGGAGCTATAGTATAAGAACGAAGAGTATCTCATGTTGTTTAATTTATCCGTCAATACAGCAAACAAGGAGCAAGTACACGCTCCACCTCATCTCCATCGACAATAAGACGTACGCACTTATGCCGCATGCGCTAGAACCCAGTCAAGTACATCCCGATCCATGACCATCCGACGGACGGCTGCTGTTAGATTGAAGTGAAGTAGTGGTGCACTTGTGCACGTAGAGGTAGAAGTAAAAGTAAAATATATTAAGCATTAACTTTCCTCGTTCGTTAATACCTACACATGCATGCGAAACCGACTGCAACTATACCATCTATAGTTCACGTCTATCCCGCTCCGTCCCATCTGTTACGACATCGACAAGACGATGTGGTAATCTCGTCGCCTCGTCCCATATGTCGCAACATCCTGATGGTCCGACGTGGCGATATCGTCGCCTCGTCCCATCTGTCAGCACGTCAAATCTGTTTAGTCAATCAGGTACGGTTGTTACTTACCGCGTAACAGGGTATTGCCCTTGACCTTCACGGCCTATCAACAACAATAGCTTCTAACACTCCTCCTCAACCGCATCCTGGATGGACTTCAACTTGAACATCGCTCGCAGGTCTTCCATTCTTGGTGCCGGTAACGTCTTGGTCAATATGTCCGCCATCATGTCCTCAGACTTGATAAATTTTGGTTGCACGACACCTTCACGCACATGATGGAGTATAAACTTGAATCGAATGTCCACATGCTTCGCGCTTGAGGTACTCTTCTCGGACTCGAGTTGCTTGATTGCCGCTTGGTTGTCAACCCACATCGGCATGGGCTCGCTTATCTTCAGCTTCAATTCGCCGAGTAGTTCCCGTAGGCCCAGCAATTCACGTCCCGCTTGTGACGCAGAGATGAATTCCGCTTCCATCGTGCTCAACGACACACCGGACTGCTTCTTGCACGTCCACATCACGACGGCTCCATCCATAGTGAGGACACACCCGGAGACTGACTTGCGATCAGACTTGTCGGCAGCGAAATCGGCATCGCTCCAACATTCGACCTGGACATCATTGGATGTAGGTCCGACACCATTGAGGTGCAACTTCAAGCCCTTCGACATCTTCAAGTATCTTGTAATACGTTTTGCGATCTTCCAGTCCTTTGTCGTTGGCTTGTGTGTCTGCCTAGTTGCCTTGTGAACAGCAAAGCAGATATCAGGACGCGTGCACCTTGCTATCCACAACAGGCTCCCAACCAGCGACTGGAACGACTTCACACTTGGTTCGCCCTTTGCACCCTTCGCAGATAGGTATTCCACAGTGTCCTCGTCTTCTGCATTGCACTCGTCCCCGATTGGGGTCCTCACCCCATTAGCTGAATCCAGTCCGAACTCCTTTAACAGTAAGTCGATCATGACTTCTTGGTCCAGAACGTATCCTGTCTCGTCGTTCAAATTGATTCGTAAACCAAGAAACTTGTTGACGACGCCTAGGTCCTTGATGGACAGCAAGCTCATCTCCATGAAAAATTCAACCACGGCCCCTTGCTCAGTCCCTGTGACCGATAGGTCGTCCACGTAGACGCCAACCACCGTGCACGTCTCACCCTTGTACTTGTAGTACAAGCACATATCCGTGGTGCATTGTTGGAAACCACCTTGACGTAGCTTTATATCAAGTAATTTACTCCAAAGCCTTCCAGCTTGCTTGAGGCCGTACAGTGACTTCTTCAACAGGAGGACCAGGTCACTTGATGTTTTCACGCCATGCAACTTAAGCTCTTGGTCACTCAAAACCATGCCCTTGGGCACCTTCATATAGATGTCAAGGTGCTCCTCCTTTTCAGCCTTGACGTAGGCATTGGGAACGTCACCATGTCGGGCAGGCACGTTCCAACGCCTGGAGAGCACCAAAATCAACTTTACCGTTGCCAAATCCATGACGGCAGCAAACGTTAGGGTATAATCGACACCAAACACTTGCTCGTTCCCACAGACCACCAGGCGAGCCTTGTACCTCTCCACGTCCCCGTTTGCATCAGTCTTGGTCTTATAGACCCACTTGTTGTGCAAGACGTGTGCACCTTTCGGTGGTAGTACAATCGTCCACACGCCGTTTGACTTCAGAGCATCCAACTCTTCAGTCATAGCCGTGGTCCATTTCTGGCGATCACCACTTCGCATGGCTTCGCCATAGTGCTTTGGATCTTGAGCGATGACTGCATTCACAACATCCTGTCGTTCAGCAGGGCCTTCACCAACAACTTTCTTAGCACGTCTGCTCATTGACCTTGTGCCGTGTCGTTCCCTAGTCCATCCGGGCTTACGGCCACTTCGAGCTTTCGCCGCCCGTTTCTTGACACTTGAAGGTACTTGAACCTTCTGTTTATCATCGGTTGATATCTCCTCCTGATGTTCAATCCTTTCGGTGTACGAGTAGTCTTGACCGTTACGCCCATCCGACAGTGTTTCGATGTTGCGTACGTGCTGCGTTACCACGACCACCTTGTCCTTGGGGATGTACACTTTGTACCCCTTAGTCTCATCACTCTTTCCAATTATGATGGCCGCCTTCCCTCGCTCTCCAAGTGATTTGTTCCTTGCATCCACGTGCACCGTGCACGTGGAGCCGAACGCCACGATGTCGTTCAGGTTTGGCACCTTCGTGGTCAGAAATTCCATCGGAGACACCCCACCTGGATTCGACTTGGTCCTGCTTCTGTTGAGAATGTAAATTGCATACTCAGCAGCGTCGCCCCAGAAATGCAAAGGCAGGTTTGAAGCAAACACCATGCTTCGGACCATATTCATAATTGTCCGATGCATCCGTTCAGCTTTGCCGTTACTTGCCTGATTTCTGGCTTCACTGACTTGACGCGAGACTCCATTCGCCTTACAAAACACGTCCAAGGTCTTGTATTCGCCACCTCCGTCCGTGCGTAGTACGTGGATATTGCAATTGAACTCTCGTTCAAAGCTCATCAGGAAGTGCTTGAACTTGAGGGCAGCAACATCCTTGGATCTGGCCAAGAATACACGGCAATAATTTGACCTGTGGTCAATGAAATTGACCAGGTAACGGTTACCCAGACGATCCCTTGGAGTCATTGGGCCCTTGAGGTCGGAGCAAATTACTCCACCGATCACATCGATGGGAGAATTTTGGCCTGAGTCTTTTTTTGACTGTGATGCTTTGGTTTGCTTGCCTTGTGCACAGGCCAAGCAATTCATGCGCCTCGTGTCAGTCAGCCTGATACCAGATGCCGGGTCTTTGGCCATCTTGATGATCGTTTCGTAACACAGGTGACCCAAGCGACGATGGAATTGCATCAAGGTACCACTCTGAACATCCGAATCGGAGTTATATTCAGGTGAATTGATCGCAGCCGTCATCTCCCTTGGTGGTAAATGTGAGGTCTTGTTGCATGGTCCTGTCACTGCAACAACTAGCACATTGTTATTGCACTCCACATCCATAACCGGTGCACCTCCAAAACCAGAGGTTAACACACGTCTCTCTCCTCGGTACTCAAGTACACATCCCTTAGCCTCGAGCTTACCATACGAGATGATGTTTCGCTCGAGGTTCGCGGCGTACTGTACATCGAGAAGTTGGATGGAATTCACAACCCCGAGTGCAATAACTTCAATGTTGACACTCCCTTGCTTGGTAATCCGGAGCACGCCTCCATCTGTTGCAGCTGTCAAGCATTCGTTTCGACAGTCGCTCGGGTTGACGAGCAGAGACAAGTCGTTGACAAGGTGTCTGCTCGACCCACTGTCGAGGATCCAGTGATTGTCTTGGAGACGATCACCATTGTCGATCGCAAATGTGAAACTTGGTCTTCGGACCTTGGACATCTGTCTCTTGGGGAACATCGACTTGATATGTCCCACCTCGCCGCATCTGTAACACGTTCGTTGGTCATTGTCATTTGATTCTTTCAGTACCTTGTGCTTGACCTTGTCTCTTGACTCCTTCCTTGGTTCAACAGCATTGACCACGTCACGTCCGAGATGCTTCGCGTGGTTGTCAATCTCCGTTGACTGGGCAAACTGTGCCAATTCCTCGGCTTGGCGCAAGCAGTCGGTTCGATGAATGTCCAGCCTGGACATCATGGTCATTCGCATATGCGGGTCTGCATAATGGACGATGTTATCCAACACCAGGGTATCTGCCCCTCCGCAAGCATCACTGACTGCCGTCAGGTACAGGAAATGGTCCGTCCAACTTCTGTGAGGTGCCTTGGGAGCCGTAAACAATTTCATGCTTTGGGCAGGCGTGATTTTAGTGCTAAAGGTCTGAAGCAGCCTTTGCATAGCATGCTCCAGGGTTTGACTTTCACACCACCAAGTCTCCACTTGACGACGATAGTACGTCTGTGCCTTACCGGCCAGGTGTTGTCCTAAGACATCCACCTTGATGTCTTCCGGCCACGTGAATCCACACGCACGCTCGGCAAAACCAACTTGACGCACAAATTCCTTGCCCCATCCGAGGAAACCACTACCAAGGCCATGGTATAGTTCCTTCCCATCAAAAGCTTGTAGTGCAAGCTTCCGATGTTGCGCGTCTGGCATCCCCACAACCTGTTGTCTTAGGTTGGCATGCATCACGTTCGGCATACCCGCGCCGGGGTAATAGCCTGGTACCCCTGCCATAAAATGTGCAAGTTCCGGCGCTTGTACCATGTTGCGGTCTGCTTCAACATGGCCTGCTTGATGATTTGCATCATCAGCTTCGTAGTGTCGTCTGGCTCCAAAGTACGTAGCCGTCGACACGTCGTTCGGTGACCTCTTCCGGGGAGGGGTAAGTTCCAAAGCCTGGATGTTCATCCCTCCACCCGCTCCCAGAGCCGAACCAAAGACGCTTGACTCCGCAGAGTCCTTCCGGTGTCCACCGGCATGCTCCTTCTGGGAGACCTCCATCCGATTCAACCGATCAGATAGGTCTCCGAGCATGGCAAGCACCTTGCCCAGTGCCGCATCAGGCACTGCCGACTTTTCTTCGAGGTGGTCGTCGTTAACCCGATTAGGGTCGCCGACTGCCACGTTAGGCATAGCCTGTTTGGGCTTGCCCACAACACGTTCCGTTGGGCTCATAACCTGTTAGATTGAAGTGAAGTAGTGGTGCACTTGTGCACGTAGAGGTAGAAGTAAAAGTAAAATATATTAAGCATTAACTTTCCTCGTTCGTTAATACCTACACATGCATGCGAAACCGACTGCAACTATACCATCTATAGTTCACGTCTATCCCGCTCCGTCCCATCTGTTACGACATCGACAAGACGATGTGGTAATCTCGTCGCCTCGTCCCATATGTCGCAACATCCTGATGGTCCGACGTGGCGATATCGTCGCCTCGTCCCATCTGTCAGCACGTCAAATCTGTTTAGTCAATCAGGTACGGTTGTTACTTACCGCGTAACAGGGTATTGCCCTTGACCTTCACGGCCTATCAACAACAATAGCTTCTAACAGCTGCTAGGCTAAAGTTATACACGAGTATGTTAACGAAGTGCACTACGAGAACAAGATGGCAGACTTGTGAAGTCGTCCTATGTGCAATTAGTTTAGGGCGTCTCTTACATGGCGACTAGTTCGGACTGCACAAGGTGGACAATCCGCATGGGGAGACCAAAAAATGCCATTACTATTTTTCTTTACGCACCTCCTTACGTGTGATGCCGTCTCTGGCTCGACACAGAGGATATACCACCAAGTCGTTGGTGTTCGTGGCCACTACTATGCAAACGATGGCAAAACGACTGAGTGCTTGCAGTTGTTTTCGAATGCTTGTCATCGTGTCATTTTACACGTAGCAACGGCCTACAATGTACCACAATACGTCTTTCAAAGGTCGTCGCGCAGCTCTAAAATCACGTGTCGTTTTCGTCGATGAAAACAATTGACCAGCCACCTCGAACAACGGCGTAAGGAATGTGGCAAATGTGGCCTGACTCAGGTCACACAAGGGTGATATCGAAATGTTGTAACGTATTCAGCCTGACGCAGTAAATTCTCCGTCAGGCTGAATATACGTTTGGTGGTAAGCAAACGATTTTAACGAGTACTGCAGCCTGAGTATTGTCTTGATGAGAAGCGATAACTCGATCCCTTTTGACTCTTCTAACATTGTTTGGGAGCTGAAATGCCCTATGAGTGTCGCGCTAGATTTGTTGCAGAAATGATGAACTTGCAAGACTCGGTGCATTCAAGTGCAGAACGCGTTGTGTGGTAAAATGCGGTATATTCGGGGATATGCATGCGCCTTAGCGGTGGTTGTAAGCACACATCATGAGCCACGGTTAAACCTTCGTTGAGCAGTTTCAATACCTGCATCAGAGGCATCAATTAGGTTGCTATCAATGCTCAACAAGCGAGTCAAACCGTCAATGGTAACAGGAAAGTTTTAGACAGAATCTGCTTGGATGTCAACCGACGAGACATCACCACATGGAGGGGATTGCTGGACAAATATGAGTGTGACGTGATGTCCGACTTTGCGTACGGAAGCGTTTTGACCAATTCAAATAGCTTAACAGTATAGATCAACGGGCAGAGTAAGTTTCGTGCACGTCCCGAGTTCCTAAAGCTTCGTCAAAGCACGTGGATGAGCAGATTAACGTTCCTTAGCTAGTCGTAACGTATATGACGGGTAACTTCGACTTCGTCCCGACATATAATGTTTGAAGCAACACAAACCTCATTCAACCGAATGAAGATAAAGGTCTTCACTGACGAATCGCGCGATGCTGAATTGAATTGCGTGATAACGTAACTCTCGTGTGATGTTATCACGAGCAACCCTTTCGAGGAAGAAGAGCAGTCAGGCGCTAGAAAAGAACTAGAAGCGTACTATGACCAGGTGGAAAAAAGAAGGAAAAAGAAGCGAGGACGCGTCCCAAGACCGGTAACGTAATGATGGCCCGTTTTCCTGTCACAGCTATGAGCACCCAAACTGATGACGACTCCCATTCTTGCGTGGTGATTTAAGCCAAGCTGGATGTCACCTCTATTCATGGTAAGCTGCATGAATGCAGCACACTTGAACCCATACTTGCATAAATTTGTTGAATGCAGAGCCGAACATCAGGAATGCAAACTGTCCATCACAGCATCCCGACAGCGACATCGGAGAGACATCTTCTTGCGCCTTCTTTTCTGTTCTTAGAATTCGTAGTGGTGGCCGAAGTCGAAGAATTTCCACAAGACGCACTTCGTCCGTCTTCAGCGTCTTACAACCCAGCGATCACGTGAATGTCTTACTGTCGGTCTCGAATAGTACCACGAAAATGCGGCTCGAGTCTTCCAGCGGGCCATTGCCTACTTTGTGTCGTTGCACAAAAGATGCAGTAGCTTTCTTGCTAACGAAACTCTGCATGTCGATGAAGACTACCAGTGTGTTCGAGCTTCGAGTCGCGAATTTTGAAGTTGCGAGAGCATCTTTGTATAGACAACTTATCATCGGGAGATCCGAACAAGTGAGCGTCACAAGTGATGATGACTAAAACAAAGTACCAATCGACCAGACTGCGAAACTTTCCTTGTTATTGTACTTGTCCGATAACAAGCAGCAAGTGGAGGAAGCCATCTGGAGGAAATGCTTGTATGGAAGCAAAATCTATTCAGGCTAAGCGATAATATATATGAGTTCGCTCGATCACCTAACTAGCTTTGGTCGACTACGGTATGGGTCAACAACACTTATTACCTTGGCAACACCTAGTGTTTCTCTTTTTATATACATTTCTGCTTAGACAAGTCCGAGGTAGCTGAAGATCATGAGCGCTATCCACAGGTAACTGAACGGTACGCCCAGGATCCACAGCATAAAGAAGATCAACAACAAGTTGCCACCGCCAATCCGATATTGCGAAAGATGTCCGTTCGCCTGAGGTCCATTGTCACCTGCAACATTCGGACCGCCCGGTGCACTACTTAACAACACCCAACAACGTCAACAACTTCCATACATTCCTTGACAGCATGAGACGCGTCAACGCACCGTTGTCTCTGGTTATTTACCCGGTGCGCGCGCATCCCCGGCGTGCCCACACCACGGGCTCCACCAAACGACGTAAAAGAGAATCCTGGTCCAAACTGCGACATATGGACACGAGATCCTCCAAAATTGTGCATGCCTCCTCTACCCCGCATACCTTCCTGGAAAAACATGGAGAACGGGTCCTGGCCACTAAAAAACGTGCGGAAAATCTCCTCTGCATTCTGTCCCTGGAACGGTTGCATGTTTGGTCCACCGTTACCTGCAGCACTTTGGATTCCAGCTTTGCCAAAGCGATCGTATTGACGTCGCTTGTCTGGATCAGATAGTATCGAATAAGCCTACGAATGATCCAAATAGTAGCCCCCTTTGTGTTAGCGAGCTCCTGGGTAAGTACTCCCAGTCAAAATATGGTCATGCACCTCGCCAATCTCTTTAAATTTGACTTCTGCTGCCTCTTTATCGTCTATATTCTTGTCTAAAACACCGCAATGAAGTGTTAAAATAATACGTCCAAGCGGGTGTTGAGTGTAAAAAGGGAAAAGGTCGCGTACCTGGATGAAAGCGGATGGCCATCTTGCGGTAAGCGCGTTTGATCTCATCCTCTGTAGCAGTCTTTTCGATGCCTAGCGTCGTATAGTAATCCACGTCGGCCATAATCGCTACTTCCTTCAGACTACAGTGATGAATTGTTAGGACCACCTCCAAGCGACATTCATAAAGTATGTACACCACGCCAATAAATTGTAAATTAAGTTTTACAGGTGACTGTGCCCAACAACTGGCACGAATTTCTAACCTCAATTCAGTTGGCACGGAATCTTTTGCCAAATAGTGATCAATCAGTAGAAACTAAACATCAATAGAAATTGCAGCTCTCTTTTACAATCGATGATCTCTTGATGTTCCACAATGTCTGAGTACAAAAGGAAAGTGAAAAGTTGGCGGTATCTCATAGACCTTAAGATGACGCAATACCGTCCGGAGATAAACCGTATGTTGACTTGGATGCAGCAGTGACTGCCAAGTCAACGATTCATCTGATACAAAGACGCTTTTTTACGTTCTAAAAACAGACGTCATAAAATACAAAGCAGAGGTTGCGACCGAATGTTGCAATTCTATAATCTCGTGGTGCATGAAATTACTCGGAGCTCTTCAGTAGACGCCAATCATTCTAGGCTGACCACAACCATAGCAGCCTCATCGATGACAACTTGAATACGCTCCAGGGCTCATTACACATGAGAAGAAAAACTGAGGTAAATACTCCTTCGACAGCTCAATAGGTACAGCTGGATCGAGTGGTGGGTCTCTATCGTCCATACCTACAATTCTGAAGAGTTAAGGCAAAAGGATCTTGCTCCTTTGGACGAAAACCAAACGTCTTTGCAGCTTGAACAGCACGCGCTTTCCTCATAGTTACGACAGAAAGCATCTGGTTTTTGAATACAACGTCGTCGACTGAAAGGAGGAGAAGCTCGGATAACGTTCAAAACTTGTCGTCGTCATGGACTGCGCAATATCTACCCATATCTTGACTTTGACGTGGTCGCACGTTGTCGAGTAATCCAAGCTCATGTTTTATTGGAAACGAGACCACACATACCCTTAATTCTTGTGTGCCGTAGCGTCGAGCGTAAGCAAAAGCTGAGAAATGACAAGTCTCCGTTCGGGTTATTACCTTTCTTACTGCGTCCCACATGATTTCGTAGATAGTCAACTTTGACCTAGTGGAGTAACAATTACCAGCTTGTAGTAGGACGAGGTTAGTGAATACTACAATGCTTCATTGCTAACTCTCGTTAAGCTCCTTCATGCGTGAGGGTCGACACGGGTTGGTTGAGCACTATGAAATTTACTCAGCACAGGTCGTGGAGGAGCGATGCATCACCATCAAAAGGAGAGTCAACTCGTCCTGTCTGCCCAATCTCCTTAAACGTGAACCAAATGAGCGTCAATGCTAGTAGAGTCTCAAATCTCAAACTCTTATCGAAGACGCTATACAACCAAGCAGCGCGCAAGACGGCAGTCCAGAAACGGGTATTTTTTACTTGCAATCAAGGCGTCTTAAACGACTTCAGACGTATAATCAAATGTCTAGAATTCGAGAGACTGACCCGTCACGTTAAGTCCCTGCTGTGCTGATGCTCTGATCTGATCCACCAGCTCTTCTAGTTCAACGCTTTGCTTCTCGCCGTCTGTAAATTGCACCACCCACTTTGTAGGCGAGCTCTCACTAGTCTGCCATCCGATCACCTGTCCAGTTATCCACTCGGTCATCATCGTGCCACTCTTTTCATTAGTATATTCGGTCGTCTTGAGCATTCTCCAAAGCACCGGTCTTCCGGGCAATGCCGTAAACTCTGTCATGAGCTTCTCTTTATCATACCGGTCCGTCTCTTTAACATTCTCCTGTTTTTCCCTACTGTGACAGACTTCAATGGTCGAGTTTCTATCATCATTAACCCACTCAGACTCGGAACTATTGACTTCTTCAAGCGCTTCTTCTTCAGCTACTAGTGAATCAAGTGAAGCTGCTGTTGGCCAGATTGAATCTGTAGGTGGATCAGCTTCTAGAACCCGCCTCTTGTGCTTTCTGAGCGTCAACAGCCGGTTTTTTATTTGACTTTCACTTGGCAGTTTGGCAAGCATTGCTGGTTGTCCTGCATACTTTTCTTTAAGATTGATAAAACATTTCTTGGGTCGAAATCCTCCGGTTAGCAATCCGTCAACTTCTACTTTCACGGACCAATCAATCCCCACTTTCTTCCGATTGGAAATTTCGGTTCCGTGCCGTCCGGCGCCTGCTAATTGAAAAGTCACTGGAATTTCCGCTTCTTCTTTATCGATTTCAATGACCCGGAGTCGTCGTCCGCATCGTTCGTGAGAAATACAGCGAAACACTTTCCCATTAGAAGTTGGGCCGTAATTGTACGCAATAACGTATCGGAATCTGTCGTAGGAATGAAGACCTATCATGGCCTCTTTTAAGGATAAGTACGTCGAAATGTGGCGGTAGGCCACCGTGTAGCGGGGCATCGAAAAAACGAATGGTGGCCGTAATATGATGAACAATAACCGGTTTTTTATACACCATCAGTTCGATGAGAAGGGGCATCATCTCTTTCGTTCTGATGGGGTGTCAAAGTAGAGTTGCTGCATAAGGCTTTACGTTATGAAGTTGTATTGGAATGTGCTACTGTCATTTCATAGAGTTGTAGCTATCGAGGGCAGCAGCTACACAGTTTTTCCAGCTTGGAAGCTTGCAGTAGAGCCCACCTCTACAACGAAAACAATGAGGCATCCATTTCGTAGACCCAAAACAATGAAATAATACGAATGTGCGTTCTGGGCGGTGCGAGAAGGATCAGTTTGTGCAAATTGGCGTTTACGCGCTAGTAGGCAATTCGCTGCAAGCTCATTGAACCAGCAGACACGAGCATACTAGTATCTGCCGTGTTCTAGGACAGCAGGTAGCTCCTTTGTATTTTGTTTAGCAAATGTACAATACCTTTCGTGATGCCCTTAATAAAAGACCTGCTTTCATGGTCGTTCCATTGTTGCAACTAGCCATCCGGTCCACCTCGAGTTTGATTCACTTGCACAAGTAGAGATTGTTTTGTGCTGGTCCCAACATTTTTGTTTTGGTCACGAAGGACTGAAAGTTCAAGCTGCAACCAGTAGCCCGTGAAAGTGACAAAAGAAACTTAAGCCTTGTCCAGCAGCATTGCTCCTTTATATACCAAGTGATATGAGCGAATCATCATGCTCACGTCATTTGTTGCGCTCTCATGAGACGGTGCATTGTCGAATGGCTGCATTAGCGATATACTATACATAGGAAACGTATACCCTACCCCTTTCTTGTCAAAAGCTGCCGTACCCCTCGAAATTAGCGTACACCACACTACATTCTACTTCCAAAATCCTCAGCCAGTGAGAAAGCCAACGCAAAGGATGGGGGGTCACGAGCACCACCGAGAGGGCCACAAGAGCTCCCGCTCTGGTGGATGGGAAGGATTTAATAAGCTTAAACATGCACTAGAGGGGCTGGCATCAGCAAAGGGTGTGTCACAGAGCCGCATCGGAGCGGTGGCCAAGGTGGCAGCGCATTATTCTAAGGTAATAAAGCAGACCAGTGGATGGAGGTGTTTTGGGTGATCATTTGACTTGCTATTTGTATGTAGTTTTATAAACATGTGGTGCACGACATCGAAGTGTTTGTATGGAAGGCCGAGATCGAGCACCGATTGGCTGGTAATGGGTTATCCCTTATGTTTGAACTCATGCGACATTTTTGGTTACTGATTCATGTATTTATTGTATTGTGAATGTTGCAGGATTGTATGCTATTGATGCCATTATCAGACAGGTATCGTTTTTATGTTACTTTTTAGGTTTTTTAGGTAAATATTTATGTAACTAATGCTTGGTCGTGGGTTTATTCGGTATTACAGTCTCATGCCAAAAATGACCCAAAGGATGCATACGTCAAGCGATTTTTGATTCGAATGACGGATACCATTGCAGCTGTGAAGAAAGTTCCGGAGCAATTTCAGGTGTGAGAACGAGAATTGGTTCATGCTGATGATGGCAAAACTGATTTTTTGTATTGTATTGTATGGTGATGGTGAAGCCCAAAGTGCGACATGTGATTGAAGAGTGGCAGAAGCGCGGCATTTACACGTCCAAGCAGATCGAAGACGTTGGAGGACGTGAATATCTGTCACATCAAGTACGCCATGTTGAGGGGTTGACGGAATTTGCTGGAAGATCTGACTTTTTGATGCATCTTTAGGATGAAAACGTTACGCCTCGTGCATCTCCGGGAAAGTTGGCGTCGCTGCTGTCGATTATCAAGCAGAAGAAAGAAGAGCAAGGATATGTCGGTGAACATCAGGGACAACACGGGCGACCGCCATATGAAGGATTGTACAACGGAGAAAATCGCCCGAGTGACGACGCTGGGGCTTATAACCATCGAAGTTATGACGAGCAACGATCGGATATCCACCATTACGACCGCAGAGACATTGGTGGCATCATGGGGGATGCACCTGGTGTGCCGGTCGGAAGCGGTCTTATCCGTAGAGCCCCTGACGACCGTCCGAGTGACATGGATGACCGCGACCCTAAGAAAGCCCGCGGGTCCCGATGGGGGCCTCCTAAGTTGGACAACCCTTCCATAAACGATAGGCCTGCCCCAATACTTACGTCACTGGGTAGAGAGGGAGATTATCATCCTGATAGTGGCAGACCTGGCGATGCCTCACCATCATTATTGCAACCTTCACATGGTGCCCCGCCAAGACTCGAAGAGTGGAACAGAAACGTACCTTCTTCTCGTGGTTTGGGCCCTGTATGGCCACGTAGTGAAGGTGTGCGCTCACCACAGTCTGGAAGTGTAGGTAGACTCAATGCAATTCCTTTTGATCAGAGCGCAATGCATCGACCGTCATTTCCTGGATCGGACGATAGGCGAAGTCCTGGCAATCGAGTCCCTGGAACCTCTGGTGAAATATGTCGCAACTTTTTAGCCGGCAGATGTACATTTGGCGATCGTTGCTGGTACGGTGATATCGTATTTCGAGTGTATAAATTGTAAACGCGTACTGACTTGGTGTCTTTTGTGATTTGATTTACCTAGGCATATTCACGATCCTCAGTCTCAGATGGGAGTAGCCCGGCCAGAAATGGGTGAAACTAAGCGCAAAACTGTGCTGTGTAACAACTATCCGCTGGGGAACTGTCGGTTTGGAGATAACTGCAGGTACTATTTGATCAGTAGCACTGGCATCTGCCTTTTTTGGGAGGTGACATATAGGTTGCCTTATCTTTTTTCTTTAATGGACTGTTCTCTGATGATGGACTCCCGTTACGGGCCCTGTATTTTGCTGTGTACGTGGATCTCTCTCTTATCAGCTTTGCTCACGGGGAAGAGGAACGTGATCAGTCTGCCAGGCCGCCAAGACTTCCCATGCAGGCTGACCAAGCTGGAAGCCGTTGGCAAGCGCCATTGAATGCGCGACCCGGAATGGAACAACCACCTCGATTGCATGTTTCACCCTCTGTCGGTGCAGCAGCTCCTACTCTCCAGACTAGATCTTACGGAGTCCCGCAAGCTGTATATAATGAACCACACGGTGATCGAGGCACTAGAGGAGGCGATTCTTCTGTATCTTTTGCTAATGTCGCTGCGCCTGCGCCCTCGCCAGTTGAGCGCCAGCTGCCACCCAGCCACCAGTCTGGCCTAATGGCTCCCTCGCAAGGTTACCCTGGGGCGTATGCGGCGGCTACTTCGACGTTTATGACCCAAGGCCCTTCCTACTCGAGCGGTGGTGACCAAGGTCGAAGCCACGTCCCAGGCAGTGCCCCCGTTGTACTACCCCCTGGTTCTGGTAGTCAATCGTTTGTAGCCGCTGCACCGACTCCTATCGCCAAAGTTTTGGTGGATGATGACGATGCCGAGACAGCTGAACCCGAATTTACCCTGGAGTACGATGACGATGACTAAATGAAGAGATAATTGACTGGCGACGTTTGTGAAACACTATGATGAGTTCAATTAACATGAAAAAAAACACTCAAGACAATGACACTGAACAAAGGTACCAAGAAAAAAGTCAAGACCATGTACTTTGTTCCAATGGATGCATTTTTCGAGTTAAAGCTGTTGTTTAGCAAGCGTGTTAATATGATACACTTTTCTATACTTGCATGTGCCGACTTTTTATGTAATTTGTAAGTGTAGCCATCCTTTAGGTGTATATCGCAGCTATGTTTTCCGACATAAATTAGCCAATCAGAATAATTCTTCGATGGTTACAGAGCCTGATAACAAAAAAGTACTAAGAATGATTACTTTATCCATTCGATATGTAAACAATCATCTTCTCCGTGCCCTTGTTCCATTAGTTTTGATTGTAATTGGGTCAAGTTTGTTCTTAATGGATAATTTGAATACCTCTCGAGTTTCTCAAGTTTCTCAAAAGCTGAAGTATGAGCGAATGTTTGCTACCAAAACCAAGTATTGGGACCAACGCAATGCGAATAAAGACGATGTACTGTCAACTTTTCCTGCAATTGCTAATCTAACCTATCGAGTACCGTTGCGATCAGAATTGATATTGATTCAGACTCAAATTGTAGCACGTCATGGAATTCGGTATCGCACATTGGAAGCTAGGAAAAATGAGCTTTTGCACTAATGCTAATACCTCTTTTCGGTAATTGTAGGTATCCTACGGGTGAGAATATCCGCGAAATGGAGCTTTTACTGAGGAGGTTAAAACCTTTTGAGAATTTGTTGCCAACGTGGATGCAAAACTTCACTCTTCCGTACAATTTGAGTGTGGAGGGGGAGCTTGCAGAAGCTGGGGAACGTGAGCTACGTGATCTTGGTGCTCGAAGTCTTGCTCGAAATGGACATGAAAGACCCCAAATGTACTCAAAGAAGAAATACCGTGTAGCACACACGTATGTGACTAGAACACGAGATTCTGCAATTGCGTACGGGTTTAAGAACTCATTTGGTTGCAACATCTAAGCTGCTTTTATTCATAGCTGACCTCGAATTTGGGTTTGTATAGATTTGCATCCTCATTTTTTGCAAATGCAGAAGTTGTGAAGTACATCGAGTACCCTCAAAATAAGGTGTTGGTGCTAGCAATACTTTTGACGACTCGATAGTTATGCTAACGCTTTTTACTACCTAGGATGTTTTGCTGCGATTTTTCGATCAGTGCGCTCGATATCAGCGTGAGGTGAAGACGAATCAGACAGCACAAGAACAACGCTACATGTATCAGAGATCTAGCGTCATGACCAACAATGCGCAATGGTTGAAGAGGGCGCTCGGCTTAAAGAATGAGAAAGTTGTTTTTTCAGCTGAAGATGTTAAATCGGTGCAGTCTGCCTGCGCGTACGTCGTAGAGTTTGTCCGTTTTACACAATTTCTAGCGTTTGAGGCAAGCGCTAATCTACTGCCCATGCCCGCAGGTTTGACATCGCGCTATACCACCACGAGCACCACTGGTGCGCATTACTGTCGGAAACATTAGTTCATTCACTTGACTATTTGGACGACATCGAACAGTTCTATTGGATTGGTGGTGGATACAAGATTAACTACGAAATGTCGGCCGTGCTTCTGCGCGAGATCTTCGCCACGATGGAAGTAAAAATTAGAGGAGATAGTGCTTTTTTGGGAAGTTTTTTCTTCGCACACGCAGAGACCACGCTTCCGCTGATGACTTTACTGGGGTATGGTGACCGCTCACTCTTATTGTCAAATGCTACCGACGTCGAGATTGCATCTCGGGGCTTTCGGACATCAATCCTTTCCCCATTTGCAGCAAATCTTGAGTTCCGCTTATTCAAGACGAAGTCAACTTCAGAATTCTTCGTACAGATTCTTGTTAATGAGAAGGAAATCCCAATTCCAGGGTGTGGACGCGTATTCTGTAAGCTGTCGAAGCTGCAACATCTATGGCGCTACTACTTGAAAACATACGACTTTCGCGCAGACTGTCTGTTGTCAACGAAACTGCATTCAAATGTGGCCAGCCACAAATTTGGATCCTTTGTCACCCCTTAAGCAGAACACCAAATTCTGGCTAGAGTGAATACGTGAATGACTTTTGTTACATCTTTCAATTCGACTTTGTATCATTGGCTACCACCGTTGATAATTCTATTAGCTAGACAAGAACAGCAAGAAGTTATTATTAATCCATTAGAGGTGAGCATTCTATACAACGTATCCACGATCTCAAATGGGGCAAAGTATTTGAATCCAGCGTGATGACCCACGGCTCGCCATTTTTCGTGGCTAACGCTTCAAACTACCACCTCAAAGCGCAGGCCAATTTATGCTCAAATTCGCGGTAAGGCAGACTTGTTTCGCGCATGATGCGTTGTAATTGTATATCGTAATATGTACTTGCAGTGCTTACCCAATTTTCCATAGCTGCATCATATTCGCCCTATCTAAAAGATTTGAGAAATTCATTGACTTCACAAACAATTAGCCCGGTCGAATATTGACAAAGCAAAAAAGCCTTTCTTGTTGCTGTAACATTAAGTAGTAACAAGGCGTTGAAAACCAATTCTTAGCGGATGCTCTAGCGGCGTGCTGATGTGACCAACACTGTTTAGAGTGGACGATGCCACTGGCAGAGGCTGAGAGCTTAGAAATTAAAAGCCTACAGAAGAACTTTTAGATTGCGTCTGTCGAGCATGAATTGATTGGGTAGAAAGCTTCTAAGGTTTCTATAAGCGCTAATATACTTTTCCATTTACTTCCACTGTAAGTGAATACTCGAATGGTTATGAGCCCAACTACGCTGAGACAAACGATGACTTGAATCTGCCTACCCTGCTGCTGTTCAATCGCAGGCTGAGACCGCTGCTTTGAAGAAACTACTTCGTATGAAAGCTCAACGCACGGATGAAACTCGTCAAGAAGGGACTGCTGAAACATATCGACGCGACGCCCCGAGTGAAAACGACGTCTACGCATCGACATGAATGTCCACGATATGAGGCCTTCGGAAATATGTGCACCGTAATAAACCCAAGTCTTCAGTCCATGGTTTGGAATGCAGGGACGACGGCGGAACTTTGGGAGATTTCAAGAAGAATTTCTTCGAAGAAGCATACATAATCGGGTATAGATGCGTCGACAGCTGCACGAGTTCAAGATGTAGAAGGGAGAAAATGTGATGAATCACTTTCTCAAGCTTAATGAGTTGTGCATGTCAAGCAAGTCATCGGTGATGAAGGTTCGCGGAATAAATAGCTCGTGATTCTACTTGGAAGCTTGTCTGATAAATACGATGAGATCGTCAAGATTATCGAGATATGGGGGAATTAATCTGTTTTATGCCAAGGAGATGCTTCGTCGTAAATACTTAGACATTGCTCGAAAGGAGAAGAGTGAAATCGCGTTGAAGGTTACAAGAAGCTTCACATAAAAAAGATTTAGGCCGAAAGAACAAGGAACAAGTTCTCAGGGACGTGATTCTATGCGAAAAATGTGGACACAAGAGAAAAGATTGCTGGAAAAGTTCAGACAAGAAAACAGCTCAGCGCAAGCGTTCACTGTAAGCAAACATGGCTCTAAGGGCTGTCTACTCGATGATGATGCGAATAGTCATATGTGTCCATTTCAAGATGAGTTTGTGGAGATTTGGCCACTAAACAGGGCTAGTAGCATTTCGATTGATAATTGAAAAACAGTGCTGGCTGCTGGAGTTGGGACAATTCGTGTCGTCCTGAACAACATTAAGCATATTCAATTCGAAGATGTTTTGTACGCTCCGGAACTGGATCGTAAGCTTCTGTCAATTCCCGCATTGTCCGTAAAAGGATTACACGTAACATCGAAAGACAGAACATATTAGATCAGGAATGACCAAGAAGTGGCGATTAAGGTGACCCAAATAAAATAAAATTTTGTGTTCGTGTTGGAATGTGATACATTGAAATCAGCAAACACGAGTGAAGAGGTTGGCGGTGGAGCCAAACCTGTGAGTTCAAGTGTATCGCATGCGCGATTAGAACATCTGCCTATGAAGGCAATGAAAAACATCGACAAGGACAAGTGTGTAGGAAAATTCAAGATGCACAAGTTGTCTGCTTTGATGATGATTAATACGAGAAATGTGAAGGATGTGTGACTGGAAAGTCGTCAGTCAATCCGTTTCCGCAGTCAAGTTACAGCGAAGTGAGAACTACTTTACTGCTTCAAGTTGTTCACAGCGACGTATTGGGCCCAATGGAGAGCAAATCGCAAGGGAGACTCACATAAAGCGAAGGGATGCCGCGTATGGAATTAAAATTTTAAAAATTGGTGATTACGCGCTAATCGGTGACTTTCGAAGAAATACCAAAGTCCAAGTATGTGCACGTTATGACATACCTGTCACAGCTTATGCATCATGACAATGATGACGATGCAGCCATAATGCAATTAAAGGTTTCTTTGACTTTAGTGCAGTAGAACCGTTAGTGTTGGACCAGACTGGCAACGATCATATAGTTTTACCTCCTAGTAAATTTGAGTCTTTGAACCCGTGCCAAGATTGTATGCATGCATCTGTTCCTGTTTTCGAATATTGATGATGTTTACATGGATCCCCTCGATCTGGATGTGGATACGAATCAGGACATTGTGCGCAAGAGGGGCACGAACAATCTCGATGAATGGATAGTAATGCAATAATCTCAGTTTGGTGGACAAGATTCCCCGCTTGCGTTGTCACTATCAACTTAAGGCTCTCAAGTTTTGGCCCCGATGAAGATGTCTAATGCCATTGATTTAACACTCAGCGATGAACAAGAGGAGCGTGCGTCTAGATGAAATCGCATTGAGTATGAGCAAGCTAACGCAGCACTCGAAATTCCATCGACATGTTAAGATGCGATAACGTCTCCTCAATCGAAGATGTGGTGTTATGCAACCAAGAACCAGCTGCAGGCGCTTCATAGGAAGAAGACATGTTCAATCGTCGAGAAATCTACAAGTAAAAAGGTATCGGGACCACGTAAGTGTTCACCATCAAGCGTAATGAATATGATGAAATCGAGCGGTCCAAGGCTCGACTTGTAGTGTTAGGTTATCGTGTTGACATGCAACCAAAGCAAGTTTTGAGATTAAATCAAAGCCTGTACGGAATGAAATAATCTGCTGCAATGTGGTTTAAGACGATTTCAAGTGTTTTCTAGAGCATGGGTTTTGTAGCATGTGTTTCGGATCCGTGCGTATTTGTTCGCCAGATTAACAATTTTATCATGAGTTTACATGACTTCGTATCTCGACGACATGCTTATTGGAGGTGTTCGGGTGGCTCGAATCAGAAGGTCGCAGATGATGTGTCGAGTCATTATCGACTGAAGACACTGGGAAAGGTGCGTTCATATTCTGCTACTGATCTACACGACAGTTGGATAAATTAAACGCTAACCATACGTTACTATATACATTGTGTTTCTTATACTTTCCTTTTAGGAGGTATACCTGTGGGCACTGAATTACGGTATCGGTAATACCGTACATATCGGTTAGGACTTGATAACCGATATTTTGCCGTACTAAGTACATCATACACAGATATTTGAATGACATATCATCTAATAAAGAAGCCTGCATAGTATCATTACTATTATGTTTACTATTATAGAGATTAAATCTAGTGTAGGGTACTTAGGGTAGATTTATTTCTAAAGATCTTGATGCATAGATGAAATCAGTTCTCATTGTAAGTCGTCGAGATAAAGCCGGTATTGGATTGCTTCTCTCGTTCACTTCGTGCGTTGGTTCTTTGAGCCTTTAAGCTCCTAGCTTGTTCTTGCACTCTTTGCTTTGGCTCTCTGAACCCTTAAGCTTATTGCTTGTTGACTAGAAGTCCATCCCAAGTTCCTTACAATGGGGTAGAATATTGAGTTGTTTGATTAGCTTCATAAAAATAAGAGAATTTTAGCCATAGCTTTATTTCCTTTTTTAAACTAAGAGGCTTTTAGCCTTTTCCATCGTTCTCTGACTATATAGATGTGTACCTCCGCTACAATTGGTAACTCTTGTAGTTCTCCCACACCTAAGATTTAAGAATTTCATTACTTATTGTGGGAATGGCGAGTAGTAATCAACTCTTCAAGGCGCAACGCCTTGCGCTTGATAAATTTTTAGCGTTATTTGAGGCCGATAAAAGGGACCATATAATGGCCCCAGGTCCGGAAGCGCTTAATGCACGTCTTGAGGTCTAAGTGCGTTACGAGGAAACGCTAATCGGCCAAGTTGATGACCATGTTGCGTCTGATTTGCCTACGCGTCACTCTTCGGTAGTCGATGAAAAGCCAAAGGCTCGACCACTTGTATAAAGCGTAAAATATTTGAAGGTAAGAAGACAACCAACCATATTGTTTTAAAAAGCATCTTTTCGAGGAATTGTCGTCTGTTCAAAAATAGTGGCTTTATTGAGCCTATTATAATACGCCACTAACACCTGGTTTATTAGCACATAAAGTAGGTGTCGATTGCACGGATTTACTCTCACGCACCGTTACCCACCGCGTGTTTGCACAAAAACTTATCAATGACGTCACACTATTCTTTGGGTAAAGTCCACTGCCGTGTTATGCAGTATTTGATTACAGTAACCAGGTCACCTTCATGACGTACACCTCAATTAGGAGGTATAACAGATGGTAGATCATGATACACCACGTCCTGAAATTCCTTAATTAAATGATAGTAGGGATCCATAGATTTTTCAAGATAGAGGATCCACTACGTGCACTATCAATGCTATTGAAGTCTAATAACTTTACACCTAAGTACAACAGAACTATAGTAACGGTGGCACGAGCACCAGTCGCGAGACGGACCGATATATAATCTTCTCTTTGCGTTTCAAGCGCATCAGCATAACGATGAACACCTTCCAGGGTACGGCGTCGGACATAATAACCCGACACCCCTGAGTCAATTAGAATTGAACATGTCTTATCACAACTATTCACGATTGCCGACACAGCCTACAAGCTTGGCTTAAGATTCACGCTTCGTAAAAATCTTCCTTAAAAATTGGGGCTCAAGTCTGTCCAACTCTACCTCCTAGTGGTTTAACAGAGCTTTGTTATTTTCCAGTAGGACGTCCCGCGCCTACTGGAAGTGACGTTTTCCCCCGCCACGCTTGACTTAC